TTAAACGGACACCCAAAGGTATAGTGACCAATAGAGGTATAGAGGAGATAGAGGAGATAGTTTATAGGCCTGAAAAACTTTGAACAGAACAAAGCGTTGGATAAAATGAATGGATGGATCTTTGGGCGAAGCTTGATACGTTATCCACCACAGCCCAAGCTTTAGGTGAGGAATGAGGAATGAGGAATGATGAGTAGCCTAGCTAGCCCTTTTATTTTATATATACAACAACAACAAAAACAACATGAGCATGTTGACCCGGTTAGAGGCTTTGATAAATTTAACAATGAATTACGTGCGGGTGTCACTTCCATATTCATTACAACTTGACTCTAAATTCTTGCGTTATACTCATTTGTTTTTCAGACTACCGATATATATATATTATACCGAAAAGCTCAATAAATTTTATTTTTTCTTGTTTTCCTTTTATTCTGATTCATGTCGTGGATCTGTCATTCTTCAGCAGCATTTGCCACTGGAATATTGTTATATTTTTTATCAGCCTGAGGATTAAAGGTGAGGGTGAGGGTGAAAGGCAAAGGCAAGTCGACGAATTGAAGCTTTCATCGGTAGGATTCGCGGACAGCTTTGCGAATAGGAATAGTGGGTATTGTGGGTATAAAAGTGTACAAGAGTATATACAAGAGCTACAAGAGGTGGAGAAAAGAAAAATGAGAAAAAAGTTCAAGGATCTAAATATCCTGGTGGCGTTTTACCCTCATTCCGTCACACAACTCAACATCTTCACAAGGTTTATTTATATATATATATATTATATATCAAGAAAAGTACGATCAAGGTCTCGCCGGTTACCGCAAAGGTTGTTTGCACGCACTTATATAACAACGTCACGCACAAACCGCGCCCTCGTTTATTTCTTTTGTTCCGCGCGGTAGCTAGGGGTGCCTTGATCGCTTTTCGTCGGATACGCTTTTCGGGGGATGCCTCTTAAACTAACCTCCTTCTCAACTTCTCAATCCCAATCCTTTTTCTATTTCTATTCCCGAGATATATATATATTGTTTAACGTAATTTTTGTTATCGATTACAAACAAAATCATCTAAATAAAAGATGAAAGATGAATCAATAATATAATAATCAATTATATAACAATAGTTGTATAGTTATATGTATATAATAGGGTTGAAAACTGTTTTAACGATCAAAGTTAACTTGGTCGAGGACTATTATTATTTTCACTAGTTTTGTTGTACAATTTAAGCTTCAATTGGTCTCTCCATCTTTTTCTTCCTTGATATAACCAAGCTATAACCAAGATAACAAGTACGAGTAAGAGTAAAACCGCTCGCGCCCGCATCGTAACAATCCTACTTGCTAATCGAAAAACTTAATAAAAAGTTTACAAAACTTGATATAGTTAATTAGCATCTTTTAACCACCCTTTTTCCTCTTTTCCCGTCTCCTTACTCGTTTCCTCAGTTACTTTCAGACTTAAAATTTAAAATTTACATTGAAAAATTATCAAACACTGCAGAGGATAAAGAAATAAACATTATTCAATTTGGATTTAAATATTTTTTTATTTATATATAACTCTAATAAACATGAACAATAAATAGAGAAATAGAGAAATATAGATAAATAGACGAGTGTATACAATTGAATAAACGCAAGTGTTGCCAGCGTATAACCAGACTGCCTTAATATAATAAAGCTCTTAAATAATTATTTTTTATAAATATTATAATTTTTGATTTATCCCTTTATATGTTTTTGGTAGTCATCGTTACTAATAATTATTTAAATTTAAATATAAATATAAACTAGATAATAAAAAATAAAATAATTTTTTTACACCTTTTATTAATCTTAATAATATGGATTATAATTTTTAAATTTTTTAAATATTTTATAATGATTAATGAGGATCGACTTAAACAAGCGAAGCTGATTATACGTGATTTATAAATGACATATTTTAATTAACAACTATCAGACAAAACAAATAATATCACAAAGGTTAATAATAATAATAATAATAATAATAATAATAATTATTATTATAATAAATACTTTAATAATAATCATCGCACCAATAGACAAGAACAAATGAGCTTAAAGTAATAACAATCGATATGGATTTTGATTCGACACTTTTTACTATATTTCATTTATTTATTTATTTTTATACCGAAGCTCATTTGTCCCGATACATATATATATATTTATTTATTTATTTAGTTATACATATACTCAGATAAGGGTAGAGAAAGCGTATTCGAGCTGTCATAGATTTCTCAATAAATATATTATAGATATAATTACAACGTTGCACAGTTACTTTTTAGTTTTTATTAATTAATTGGGACTTACGCTTATTTTACAGTGCGTTACATCCAACTTATATACAATACAATCCAGCTAAAAATTTATTTTTAGTATATATTTATAATTTTTATTTACCAAAAAATAACTTTTTAATTAAAGATTCACTTGATAGTAAATTATTTTAATTATTCAGAGAAATCTAATTAATAATTTCGGAGAAAAAAAAACATTTAAACATTGAGACATCTATTAATAATAATAATAATATACAATTCTATAATGAAGGGATGATAGCGACACAATAATAATGATGATAATAATAAGTATATGTATATAGGATAGATATATCTAATCGTATTGCTGCTTTATTGAGTTAAAGAGAAAGTTTTGGGGAGGGGTGTGTAACACTGTAACACTGTAACACACCCTTTAAAAGTAACTATCAGCATAACCAATTCGCCCCTAAAAACTTTTAGTTTACTACGATACTTAACTCTCTATACTATTTACTATTATATTCTTTACCCTTAATCCACAATATTCACAATACTGTTTTTTTTTCTTCTTTTTCTTTTTTTTTTTTTTTTTTTTCTTTTTCTTTTTGTCATTCTCATGTACACATACAGATTTAACCTACCAACCCTTGAGCTGACGCGCGTGACAATAATCACAAACCATTCAAGATATATATATATATATTATAATGATTATTCAGCTCTCTTTCTCTCTGAAATGTCAAATTTTAAATTTGAAAATCTCAGTGTGTCTCTTTGTCTCTTTGACAAAAATTTATACTTTTAATTAGTGCAAGCTCAATCCTTAAATCAGAGATTCGCGGCTTTAGAATAAGTTGGCCCGGATAGATATATAAAGATTTATCATTGAAATTATTTAAATCTTGAGTTTTCTTTGACGCTTTGCCTCTTATTAATTGAAATGCTGTGCGTTTAACTTTTAAGACTCGTAATTTTTTTATTAAAATAAAATCAAAGGTATTAAATGATACGCAGTATTAACTGTAATAAAGATTTAAAACCCTTTTAATATTTTAGTAAGCAACATTAATATACCACCGATTAAAAATTTTCACCTTAGATTTATATTAATTTTATGGTATATGGAATTATTACGCTATAAGCAATATTTTATATAGGTAATTTATATTTAATATCTTAAAGACAAAGTTTAATCTCAATTATAAAATAAATATAAATTTTTTTAACCTCGATGATTGAAACAAAATTTCTTAGCTGAAATTTATATCTAATTTACTGGCATGGCATAATTTATATTTATTGACAAGCTAATTTGTTTTTATAATGGCAGGAAAAATTTTAACTAACTTTATTGAAAGCGTTTAACTATTTAGAATACAAACGCCAATATAAAAATGAACAAAATTATAAAACTCGTTATTGTTTATTGTTTAATTATTATTATGAATAATTATTATTGGTAGTATACAATTTTCTACATTACCGACACGCTTTGGTATGTAATTATTTATTTATTAATAATTAATAATTTATTAGCCCTCTTTATCTAAATATTAATTCGTCGGTTTATTTTTAATTTAATAATACAGTAACAATCCATTGGGATTTTTTTGGCAGTTTAGTTACTATTGATTATTATTATTATCAATTAAAACTTTAGTAATTTTATTTTTAAAATCACTAGTCTGAAATCCCTCTTTATTTCTTTGGTCTAGTCTACCAACTGTCTTTATTCAAGCCAATCATTATTCTTTTCATCTAAAAAATTCTAGGACCACAAATGTTATTATTAGAATTATTATTAGAATTTTTTTTTTTTTTAAATGCCCTTGTTTTAGATTATCAATAAGATAAAATTAAACTTTTTAAACTCCACACATTTCCTCAAAATTTTGTCCTAGCTTGAAGAAAATTCTAAATTATTATTGAATTTAAGTAGTAGATTTTGTAAATTTAATAAAATATCAATTGCGTCATGATTATCGAAAGTTACAAGAACATGGACACCGAGACCAGAAAAAAACTTGTTACATTTTTTACTGAGTTATTATTATATAATTCAAAAAGTTTAACAAGTCCAATTCTTCGATAAGTTTTTAGTTATCAGAGTTATCAGCCGTTGACCGGTTTGCATGATCCAAGTTTTACCCTAGTCTCGTTAAAATTCTCAGTCTTTATAAAATATTAATTAAAAAAGTAGGCTCATCATTTGATCATTACAAGTAAATTATTAAAAATTCATTTAAAATTGAAATTCAAATATTTAACTACATAAACTCAATCTAATAATCAATAATTGAGCAAATTTATCAATCGATATATTAAAAATTTAAAAAAAGGTTTTTCAAGGGAATGTCATTATTAATTGATTAATATATATATATATATTTCTAAAGAGTAAAATTGTCAACACGATCCACGATCGAATTTAATATACTGTTAATTAGTAGATGAATTTAAGAAAAAACTTACCAAATTGTTATTTTAATAATAAAAATCACTAGAGATAACTCGTTGTCCTTGTAGTTGAAGACTCAATAATGTATTTTTTTTTAATTTAAAAAATAATCACAGTTTAGATTTTAAACTAAATAAATAATAAACCAACTTATGGAGTATATAATTAATTAATTAATTAATTAATAATAATAATATCGATATTGATGTGTTGATTTAGATGATATTAATGAGGTCGATGATATTAATGATAATTATAGCTCTTCAGAAAGGGCAATGGGTGCTCGAGAGCCAGCTTTCATGTCTTTGACGCCGATTCCGATGTCATCAACCGGAGTTGGCACGAGCTTTAACTGATTCCCATTAATCTTGATGTCGTTTACCGAGTGTGAGCGCCCGTGCGTTACCAGGGGCTTTGGCGGTACCGGCACTGGTCCTCCCTTAGTATTGGCATTTGAATTCCCACTGGAAGTGCAATTACTTCCAACGGTGACATTTATCCCAGTATGTGAATTTGTGCTCATGTTAATATTGCAATGAGAATTTGAATTTGAATTTGTATTTACATTTGTGCTAGTTTTATTTATTTTAAACTTGGCCTTGAGAGTATTAGAGTTAGAAGAATTTCCATTATTGCTGTTACTGCTACTGCTATTTATTGTTGCTGTTATACTATTTGAATTATTTTTAGACAAAACTTCAGTAGTTAATATTGGTGTAGGTGTTGTTGTTGTTGTTGTTGTTGTTATTGTTGTTATTGTTTTTATTGGTGTTGAATTTTTATCATTGGCACAAGTGTCATTGCTTTGATTATTATTTCCATTTGGTGTCTTACTCGAATTAACATTAACCTGATGTGTGTGTGTGATGTTTGTCAGTTGACTCGCCGACTGTGAACGGACAGTTTGGCTGTTTCCATTTCCAGTTCCAGTTCCGGTCAGTTTGTCTTTCAACGCCATTTGATAAGCCACTTCAAATGCTTGCCCCAGTGTTAGAATTACCTCGGTTGCTTGGTCCTTAAATTAAAATAAATTTTACATTTTTTTAATTTTTTTAATACATCCAATCAGATACACATTTGGATTCACCAGCAAATTTGGAAAAGTTTCAAAGCAACTTTTTTTAACTTTTTTCAACTGATAAAAGTAAATTACCATTGTAGATACACAAAATACATGACAAAAATGTGTACGGCTTGCGTGATCTTTAGTTATGTAGGCGAAATGCGTTAGGTCGTCAGCGTCTTGGCAAGCGCAGTGAATATTACGGATTTCATGATCACAAATCGGTTCCTGTAACAACAAAAACTAAACTCTTATCCTTGTTAAAAATTTTTAACAAAATGTTATTCTTACATTGGTATTTGTATCCAAAAATCTAACCCCGCGGTAAGAAATCGCTAGTGTTATGGCCAAACTAACACGAGGATCTCTGCATGTATTTTTGAGCTTCTGTATAGACTTTTTGGTGGATTCTGTTCCACGCAATTCTTTTACGACGGTAGACCCCAAGTACTATGAAATAGAAAATAAAAAAAAAAGCAATTTTTTTTTTTTGCCCTTATAATATCTTGATGGGAAAATGAAACTGTTTTAACTTATGTTATTTATTTAAATAAACTTACATTGGCAACATAAGTGATATTGCCAGTGACTAGAACCTTGGGCTGATGCCTCCATTGAGTTTTGAGAGTCGAGGGTACGCCAAAAAGTAGCTCTGAGGGTGCTCGTATTTCCAGTTGTTCAGCAGAGGGTGTCCCGTTTTGAGGTCGCTGAGGAGGATGAGGTGGCTGAGGTGCTGGCCGATTCTTTCTGTGTCTCAAGGTACCCATGGTCACTGCATTAGTTCCAGTTACGACAGTCGTCGAAGAATTTTGGGTCGTCGGAGGATTTCCATTGTTCTGGGAGTTTTGGGAGTTCTGGGAGTTCTGGGTCTCGGGTAGCTTGTCGCGAATCTCCTCCTTTAACTGCTGAATATTAGTTTTCTGTAACCAACATCCCGAAGGCTCCTATAGACTAAAACCTACTCGGCTACAACCAGGGAATAACTTGTTTTATCTCTCAGTATCTTTTTGGGCTGGGTACAATGCCAGAAAAAAAAATAACATCAAAGAAAATAAAAAAAAAAAAAATAAAAAAAAATAAGGTGCTTGGAGGTATCTGCAGAGAAACCGGATACCTAAAATAAAACCAATGAAAAGGGTTACCGCATTCTTACCAGATCAGCTAAATGATCAGATCGTATCGGAATTTATATACAAACGACTAAACTGAATAATTTTTCACATTCAATACAAAAAAAATGTTTACCAGTAAAACTAATCAATAAGTAACCAAAGTGTGACAAGAGCAGGTAAAAAAACGTAACCACATCAGAGCGATGCGGTGTCGCAAGTAGACTTGTAGAATAAAAAATAGATAAAAAAAGGTTGGAATTTGCGCTCGAATGAGACGGATGAAAGAGTCATCGTATCACACAATGTCCGTGTCTCCAATTAGCCACGTTATTTACATTATAACGCGATCGAATGGCATCCTTCTGTTCATTCTACATGTGTTTTACTCGCTCTGTCAATACTGAAGGGGAGAAAGTTAAGCGCAATACGTCACCCTATATATATATATATATATATAATTTAATCCAGCTACTCGACAAGAGTATCGAAACATTGAGCTCTCATTGTGTCGATGATCGAAAAGCACCCTATAGTAGTTGGTTTCTGATGTTGGCTGTCTATCACCGACAATGTCTACTGTCTACTGTCTACTGTCTACTGTCCCATCAAGTGGCGTACTCTGTTTCCCAGTTTCCCTTTTGATTAACTATATATAAATATATCTGTATGCATGTGTATATGTCCCAGCCATCCAATAAAGTACTAATTTGATTGGAAGTTATTGACTGATGGAGGGTCTGTCTATGGTTTGGTTGTAGGTATAATTAATTCCAATGGATTTAATAATGATAATTGTTATTAAATTAAAAAAAAACTCACTAAATTATTGAGATCCTTGTTGATGTCATCTAAATTGGGAGGACGTCCATTAGTAGCCAAAGCTAAAGATCTTGGAGTGGGACCGGTAACCGAGGCCAAAATTCTTTTCCGATGCCCGGGTTTTTGGATCTCAAGGACCGCCGCAAGTTCAACTTCCCAAACTCTCTTAACCCGATCCATGTCGGTGTAGAGATGTTTTTTAAAAGTCTCGAGGTAGTTATCTAAATTTATCCCCTTGAGCCACTCCTCGACGGTCTTCGCCTGTGAGCCAGATCTTTTGTCGACGCGCTTGTTCAGCAACAACGAGGCGTTCATTATCACAGCGCGCTCCGTGTCGCTCGTTATTCCCATGTCTTTTAGGTCCGATTCCTCCAACACGCCGTTCTATTTTTTTTTTTTTTTTTTTTTTTTTTTTTTTTTTAATACAATAAATCATCATAAATCACTTGTGTTTATCTTTTAATTATTATTATTATTATTATTATTGTTTTTGTTAACACTACTTACAATAAATTCAAGGTCATCAAAACCATAATTTAAAAAAAGTGATTCGTAATCTGCGAAACCTAAATTTAACAACCACTGTCCTATAGTTGTCGTAACCGTTGGGCTATTTGTTTCACATCCTATCCCTTTGATTAGAAAAAAAAAAAAAAAATAAACAACAACAATCTTGATTATTTGTTTCTGAATTATAAATAAATAATTATTAATTACCAAGTCTCGACTGAAATTCTTTCTCCAGCTCATTAACAAATACAGATTCTCTGACAAGTCCAGTTCCGAAAGAAGCCATAATTTCAGATATTTTAGCCCACTCCTCTTGCTCGTCAAAGGGACTCATAATACTCAGGGATTTTTCGTCCCTGTCCCGGTCTTTTTCCCGAAGCAGAGGATCCGCGTTGGCATTGTCGATAATCCGCTCGTTTGAGGAATCTGTGCTGCCGGTTCCCATTCCGGAATTACCCGTGTAGACGTTCCTCAGCCGTCTAAGTGTTCGCGGACGCTCCGCCGTGACCGAGCCCTTCAGTAAACCTGATATTATACAAACGAATAATTTTAATTAAAAATTCATTCACTCCAAATTCGATGATGGTTTGAAAAATAAATTTTATGTTATGTTATCAGCTTTTTCAGTTGAGTAATTTTTTTTAATAAAAAACAATGAAAATGTTATTTTATATAATATTATCTTTGAAAATGTCTCTTTCAAGAGGTATAAAGGTATATAAATGAGATATGAATTTGCTTGTCGACACCATTATGTACAACATTATAACATGAATAAAGATAAAAAATGTTAACATTATTAAGTGACGACTTTGAATGGGTAAAAAAAAATCTAAAAAAAAAAAAAAAAAAAAAAAAGAGAAAGTGGATAGTAGCCATGTCTTTTCAAAGATGCTTCACGTTTATATTTCACATTACATAAAAATATACATGTATAAATATCGCATAATGAAAAGCTCATAAAAATACTAAATAGAGAGAAAAAATAAAAGTGAGATAAAGTTGAGTTACAAGTGGAAACGTACGTAATTTTAATTAAAGCCCCATGATGAAGGGCGTCTCAACTACACGACGCCTTTACCTCTTTCAGCTTCTACTGTATCCTCAAACCCCAACTCCTATACTAAACCCTAAACCGTAAAACCACTGCGCGACATTGTGTTGTTGCATTACGCAGTTATTATCCAAGTCACACACGCAAATTATTACACATATATTATTAAAAAAAATCTCATTCTCATCCGTTTACTTTTTTTTTTTTTTTTTTATTTCCCTTATTCACGTTGTTTTAATAATCCACTTATGAGGGTAATATTATAATAGTTTTAGCCTTCTTAGTCTCGATTTATTTTCTTATTATTCATCATCATTTATATTAAATATTAAATTAAATAAATGAATTTTGGTGGAAATTTAAAAATACCCACAAGACCTTGAAAATAATAATAATATATAAACTCTATAGCAAAACCGGAAGTAAAATTGACTTTCAAATAGGTTGTCTGGGATCCGGCATTAAGTGACTATAAATAATTCATCGCTGCGACAATAAAAAATAAAAAAAATAAAAAAAATTTGGCATGACAAGTTAATATTAATAATAATAACAACAACATTGCGTTTTGTGTCTGAATAATTGCAAGCAACGAGGACATTTTTTATAACTAAATACTCTAGCGGATGACACACTCTCGGCAATTGGCATTATATTAACTTTCGGGGTCGTTAACCGAGCTATAGTAGTATAAATCGTTAGCCAATATTCCTCGAGCGATGGCAGATGGAGTTCTGCCAAGAAAAACTATATATATATATATATATTACAATTTCCGCTAACCTTTATAAAAAATCCACTGAAAATAAATATTATCTATGTATTTAAATTTAAATAATTGTTTATTCCTATTATTATCACATTATCATCATACTTTCCTCACGAATTTATTTTTTAAATTATACTTCCGAGTAAATATATATTAAATAAAAAATCAATTGCTGGCTGTTTAAATATTTCAATATTATTAAAGGAGTTAAAAAACAATTAATTTCCGTGTTTTTCTTTAAACCGATTTGATTCAATGTTGAGGACAAGGTCATTAAAAAATAATAAAACATGTGATTTAAAACAATAAAAAAATTAAAAAAAAAATTAGTAATTGTAATTCTCATTGTCAATGGTACCTACTGCTGACTGTTTAATCCAAACAATGTCAGGGCGTACAACTGAACGTGAATTTAAATTAAACCAGCCAATGTGACCAAATAAATTTAAAGGTGCAGTTACAACTGTACTTTTTTAATCACTCTGTTTACTATATTTACAATATTTACTATATATTCCTGTTAATTGTTATCATTTTATTGCTTAGTTTTATTATTATATTTCAAAATTAATTGGCGAAAATTTTTAATCCAATAAAAAATATAAATTTTTATTAAAACAAATAAAAGATGACTTTAATTGACTCATTTAATTACTTATTAACATATTTTTTAAATAGTCCATTCAAGTTATAATAATAATGAAATGATTAATATAACGTACGTAATAATAAAAAAAATAAAAAATGTAACAGATAAAAAAAAGAGGCGTATTATGTATAATGTATAATGTATAATATATATATATATATATATAAAAAGAGAGTTGTACCGCACGAGCACGTGTAGTGACCTTGTTGTAAATTTCCTGCAGCTAATCACCAATAAAACATGATCATCACGACATTCCAGAGTGTAATGCGATCATCTGAATAACCGCAAGTGTCTCTACTCTTATTTATTCGGAATTATATATCAAATGGCTCGGTAAATGACCCGAGTATTCAATAATAATAATAATAATAATAATAATAATAATTGCAAATGAATAGATAATAGAAAGACAGTGTCAGGTAAATATAAATAATAAATAAATATGCAGTCGGTTTATAGACAAACAGGATACGAAACTTCCGTTTATTTGTTCTATAGGATCAATCAATTGTATATAATGTACCGTGAGATCGAGCACTCTACAATCACCAGTCCAATTTAATTGCAAATACCTCAACTCAGCTAAACTCAAATCAACCAGCTACTCAATACTCCAGGCTATACTTTTATTTTATATTTTATATTTTACATTTAATAATGTTAATAAGGATACTATTATGATTATTATTTTGATTGTGATTCACACGCGATTTCTTCATTGATAAATAGTTAATAACACTCGTTTATTATATAATAACTAATTTATAGTCGCTACTGGCAATCATTTAATTTAATTCTCCATCAGTAGTAGTTGTAATATATTAGTTTGCTAACTTTATTCTGTAGATGAGTAATACACATGAGTAAAGTTAAGAGGTAGTACCCTCAATTTTATAATAGTTGTTGTTATTATTATCATTGCACTGAATTTCTTTCTTTGTAATTTAATAACAGATCTGTCATCATCATCATCATCATCATCATCATTATTTATTATTTTTTTACTTCATCATTTGATTAAAAATTCATTAAATTTTATATTCAAGTAATTGATAATTAAATAATCTTATCCAGTAATACCAGTATAGTAGGTTATTTAAAAACTAATTACGTTTTTTATAAATTTTTAATTGACTATTTGGTTGATAAATTTTATTAAAAAATACATAAAATTTTTCTATCAACTTTCTAATTATAAAAGATTAAATGACGTTTGCGGTAAGTATATAATAATATACGTTATATATATATATATATATATATATATTTACCGGGCATTTACGTGATACGTGACGTAATGATTCTATCAGTAGGTAAAGTACTGCATATAATGTACAACACACATCAGAGATATATGTTGTGAGTAAGTAAAGAGCAACCAGGCTATTATTATTTACTCGGATTAGATTAGGACGTCACGAGCAACAAGTATTAAAGTATACTGCTGGAAGTAAGGATTTTGGCATTTGGTATTCGGGATACCGCTTACATTGGACACAAGTTAACCTAAATCCCAATTAACCTCATAATCCAATTATCCAGGATTAAAAAGAATTAAAAGTAAAAATTAAAATTAAAATCTAACGAAATAACCGGAAGCGTGAGTTGCTGTTGTTTAACTAGAGCAGATGTCAGCAAATAAATATACATTCAATATACAGAGTATATTATTTTGTATTTTGTAAATATAATTTAAAAAGGTGTTCAAACACCTGCATTGTAAAATTACCGGTCTACAATTGTCATTATCCTGATGCCCTTCAATAATACCCTAGCATATAACATATAACATAAATATAAACCGGGATCCGTAGTATATGTATTATTTTTCTTTTCCTTTATATTCCTTTATTATATATCAAAACCTAAACCACAATGCCCACGAGCCGACACATGATACTTGTATTATTTTTTTTTTTTTTTAGTCTTATTATAGCTTAGTAACCGAAATTTTTTAACAAAAGAATTTGTTAAAGAGTCTCAGATTATAGATATCTATACCTTACTAAGTTTATATTTCTATTCATTTGTATAATTCTTACCGATTTAAAATAACTTATTAAAAAACACTTGCACTTAACTTGTGGACGAGTGTGAATTCTAAAAGTAATGAGTAATGAGTTGTGATTAGAGTAGTCTAATGTGTCTAGTCAATAATTTAATGTAATGGAATAACGTGGGATGTTTTTAAATAAATGGGATGTTGCAAGTTCTATTGTATTGTTGTTAACAATTACTGTAAACACCCGCGCACCAGACACAACACTGACAATACTGACAATACTGACAATACTGACAATACTGACAATACTAGCATTACACTCGCGTGCTGTTGGTTTGTTACTAACGATCGCCGCGAAAAATGACCCAGACGTGGGACTGTCGCCCGCCGGCTGGTATGGGGCCCCGCGTAAAATTATTAAAAAGTAGTGGGGATTTGTTGTTGGTGCTGGTGACTTGGGTTTAGTTTAATATATTGAGATTGAGAGACTTGATCGCGTATCGGAGAAGGGGAACAAAACCTGTATTTTTTACCTCCTCCTCAATTCAAAAAAAAAAATAAAAAATAAAAAAATTAATTGAATTATCAATAAAAAAAAATTAAATTTAACATGATGAATAAAGCTGATGATGATGATGATACGAGCAATAGACGGTGTGTACACACATAATACAATGATAATAACAATAGTAATAAAGCTGGAGGCACACTCAAAACCAACTGTGATCCAATAAATGTCACTTCTCATTTATATATTAGATATATTATTAAATATATAACAGATAAATGTGATCTTTTATTAGGATATTTTGTGATGAATGATTATATAAATATATATTATATTAATAACTGGCTTAGTGTTACAAATATAATTATAATTATAATTATAATTAAGGATGTATAGAGTGTTGAACAGGTTTCCAAATAGTAACTTAAACTCTCATGAGATATATGTTGAATGTAGTTAGTTTTCCGGCGAAACTTTAGATTGAGATCGAGACAATGTGTCATTTAATTTAAAAGCGCGTTTGTTTACGGGAAAATATAATATTAAGACAACAACTGAAGAGAGTGTGGGAGAATTTAATTAATTGAGTTAAGAAATTAACTTAATATTGTTTGTTTTTATTAAACTCTATTATTATTATTATTATTATTTTTTTCGAATTTGTCCTCATAGTAGCATTTTATATATATATATATATATATATATATATATATATATAGGACTCGGATAAATCCGGAGATAAAAAATAGAAAACGACGCGTTGCCCAATGAGTCATTCATATAAAACGAACTTACGATCCACGCATTCCATCGTTATGTGATGTCATGTACAAATACATCCATTTAATTCAATCTTTTGTATTATATATCTATACAAAAGTACAATTACCCTATTCATCAGCATTTTTTAATTTTTTATTTTATTGAATATGACCAATAATTTTAATAAATAAATAAAGTTAAAAGGTCAAAGGTCAAGGCACTATATTTTAAAATACTCACACGTTAAATAAATAAAATATTCTTTTACTTGGACGGTTACAAGTCTCGATAATACTGAGAAAAAGAAAAATGAATAACTTTTTATCAAGCAAGTGCAACAATACAACGTAAACGATAAACCGGAGGGGTTTTATTTTTTTTTTATCTTATCAGCAGATTTGTGTGCCACGATCGTCATGATTTCAGTGTTGTTATTACTTTTAATAAACTTTAACAATAACAACAGTAACAAAATGAATACTTAATAAAAAATTAACAAACAATAGATTAATTGTGTTGGTGTGATGCTTTCATTTAAGAAAGTCGACACTTGCGGGTAATATCACACTAATTACACACGCCAGGTGTAAATATATTAATTACTAACTTGAGCTATTTACAACACGGCGTAAGCTTTCACAATTATTTTTTAATTATATATTCAAAAAAAAAAATAACAATAGTGAGAAACAGTGCAGTCATTCATCCGTGCTCTCACCTTGCTCCAATTGTAAATTATCTACGCTCACTTCGTCTAGTGTAGTACACTATTATATATAGTAATATACCGAGGATTATTATTGTTTTTGTAACATAAATTATCTTTAATATTTATGTATTTATGCCATCATTTTATTTTTATTAGATTTGTTTTATCTTACCTTGAATATTTTATTTTAAAACATTATGGCCACTGTTTATCTTACGAATAAAACCGAATTTCAATTGAAAAATAAAAAGTTTGGTGACGGAAATGCTTACGTAGATTTAAGAATCGATTGCTTTTTTTTTTTTTTTAATGGTATGAAGATGTCGAAAAAATTGATAATGATTTTTTTTTTTTAAACAAAAAATTCTAAAGAATTCAGTGGCCACTCTGTTGAATTGCTGATTCATTCAATTGAATGGTATTGAATCTTGATAAAAACGATAATGAAGATGATGATGATGATGAACGAAAAATTATGATGACGTGCAAGTATAAAAAGTAACAAAAAAAAAGATAGATCAACTTACTGTCTAGCGAATGTCCGTGGTTTGGCACGTCCATATTAGCTACTATAATAAATATATTCCGGAAAAAATTTAATAATAATTTTTATATAATGATAATAAGTAAACAAATATCGTGAAAACAGGGCGACCAGAAAAAAAAAAAAAAAAAAAAAAAAGCATTAAAATAAATCAAGACACAACAAACACAATGGCACAATATTTATTGGCAAAATAATATATAGTGTTATAATAATATGCACTATAAATTTTCAATTTTTAACTTGTTTTCTTATAACAATATATATTTGTTATTAAATAACTATATAATAACTAGTTAAGATTGCCTAATTATGCGATATAATTCAGTAATCAACTAATACTTTATCTAATACTTTTTTTTCATACTACACAATCGTGTACAATTTTATATATATTATTATTAATTTTTAAATACGATAAACTTCTAATCTATCAATAATGCATTAAAAAAAAAAATAATATATTTTTATAACAATAAAAATTTACATAATCACAGACTAAATAAAAACTTGTCAAATTTCAACAATAAAAAAAATATTTTTTTTTTCTAATCCTACAGTCCTATAAATTTCTACAGAGTACCCATCAAAAATTTGTTAAAAAGTTGTTTTTAATTTTTTTTTTTTTTTTGATGAGTTGTCGTTATTAAATAGTAATAAAACAATAATCGCAATTACATAAGCTTTTTAAATATAGAATAACAAATTGTGATATTTAATAAAATAAAATTAATTAAAAATAAACGGTGTATAAAAAGCCAATGACTACAGTAGCGTAAAATAAATATATAATATATCTGGCCCTCTATATATTTATATATTAATAATAATAATTGAAATATTGAAATACCTCAAACCCTTGTTGAAACTGCGCATTAAAATACAATTTAATATTTTTATTGTATTTTATAAAATGTCAATAAAACGCCAGCGTATACATAACAATATTTTTAAGTATAATAATAATAATAATAATTTTAATTATACGTCTCCGGTTTGTTGTTAAAAAGTATGGCGCACAATAGTAATAATCATAATAGTGATTATTATCATTATCATTATTATTATTATTATTATTATTATTATTAGTAGTTTGTGGTAATAAAAATATAAAAGCACATCGATTGTTACAAAAAAGCCCAAAAAAAAAAAAAAAAAAAAAAAATAACATATATGTATAAACTGGATTGAGATTGAATTTATAATCAATTGTTTGGAGTTGATAGTGTACGGACACAGTAACAAAATAACGATAATATGCATGTACTCCAGGGCATAAAGCGTCATGCGGTGCAGCCAAGCGTTTGTTGCTGTTTACCTGCAAACGGTACGTCACCAAAGTACTCCTCGACGTTGTCGTTGGACATACTTTTGTCGGATAAGGACACGCTTGATAATGAACCACTTGAGGCGTCTAATGAGCCACTTGGTTGAAATTGCAACAAATCCTCCTCCGTTTCAGTCTCCATGTCACGTGACCGACGTTTGTAAATCTTTAAAATAATTTACCCTTTTTTACATACACTCACTATGTATGTAAAATTTTTATTAATTTTTTTTTATTTTATCCTTTCATTATCAATTATCATGTACTTTTTTAAACCATTAATTCTCGAATTACAGATAAAAAATTTTCATTTCAATACTTGAAAAATTTTTTCGACTAAAATAAAAAAAATGACAAAGATTTTATAAATGTATAAAAAAAAAAAATATGAAATTCATACTGTCGGGGAATAAAAACTGACGCGATTTCAATGCAAATTTATTGAAATGGAATTCTTTCGCGGTCTGTTCTCTTTGGTCTGATAAAAAAAAAAATATGTATATAAATATATAGAGTATAAAACGGAAAAACATCGAGTACAAATATGAATAGCGCGGAAATATGAGCCGAATGTTGATCTCAACCGTAAATATTTTACATGATAAATACACAGCCACTATATGGAGGTAAGCAAATAAGCTCTTAGTGTATACACAGATATTTATATAGACGTTTAGTTGACAGGATAAATTGTGAGTTGGTGATTTAAACCGGTACGGTGTCTTTCTTAATCTTGTTCAACTAAAGTGTTGATAATAATAATAATAATAATAATAATAATAATAATAATAATAATAATAATAATAATAATAGAATAGGAGAATACGGTAGTGAAGTAACAGAGAGTCAGACAGATTTTAGATTTTAGATTTCTCACTACTCAGATGTTGTGTATTAAATTTTGTTTTACAGGGATAAGGATGCTGCTTGTGTAAAGTGTAAAGTGTAAAGTGTAAAGAACCAGTTACCGCGTGAGTTAGTACAAGAAAGACATGAAGATAGGCGAATAGGCAAAACCACAGCAGGTACAAATTTGTAGACTTGACTGGCAAAGACGACATATAAACGGGTTAGCGAGGGAAACTCCTTCTTGAGAGAAATATATACACCGACAAATACCACTACTATTGCTGTTATATAATATATATAGTTTATATAGTTTATATAGAGTGTAGTCGTGAAGGAAAGGCTTCATTATTCAAAGGGTGTCGACGTCTTGCATTCTGCCGCTTCGTTGGACACGCGAAAGTTGACGGGTGAAATCCAACCATCCACGTACCCTACATCAAATTCTCCTTCACACGCGTATTTTCCGTAAATACATCTTCAATTGTCTTCTCTTTTCCTCTCAGATTTTCTCTCCTCTTGAAGGATTCAACAGCTCTATCTTTCATCACCATCACAAATACCACACATGTCTGTTGTCTACTGTCTAACGCTACGAATCAACTCTTAGTTTTTTTTTTTTTCCATCTTCTATTCAACATCTGACTATCTTTTATATCTGACACTTTTGGTAACATTTATCAAACGTAACCAGTAGAGATGTAGAAAGAGAAGAATTTATATTTGATTTTGACATATAAATTTTATCTCAAAGTCACTCTCTTTCCTCATAATATACATGTATTTTTTATTTTAAATTTGAAATAATTAAACACGTATAATGTAATTTGACTTATCGAGTGAAAATAAGTAACTTAAAAGCATCAAAGATGGATGCAAGAGAACATCTAAAGATATTTATAAATACGTTTGATATAAACGTAGACGTAGATGTAGACGTATCAAATTTACAAGGATCTAAGAATCTTGAGGAAGACATAGATAGTCTGAGAGAGAATGTTCCTCCATCCGTAGGTTATATTCACTGTGCGATATTCCATCAAGCGTATCAACACTCGCGAAAGATTGCGGGTGCATATGAAGAGTCAAGTTGCTATGACATAATGTTGATATACATATATGTATGCATGTATGTATGTATGTAAGGAGTTGAGTATATCGAGTGTATAAAGTATGGTATGGATATGCAGAGGAAGTCGCCGAGGCAGACGTAGATTTAGAGTTTAAGGAAGAGCAAGTATGAGCAAGTATGAGCAAGTATGAGCAAGTAAAGGCATGAAGCATCATCAGTGCTTATTGCCAGCTGAAAAAGGAGAACCCAGATCACAGCAGAACGATCACAAGATGACATACTACACACCAAACCCCCACACAGTACCCCTTTCCGATCCTAGTATTGAGATGGTTAAGCATCGCATCTTCTCAAGGAGCTAGACTCCTTGTAAATCGCATCACAGATCAAACACCCGGTTTATATATTAAATGTCATTCGCTAGATCTCTTACTCTTCTCTTCTCTTCTCTTCGCTTCTCTTCTCTTCTCTTATCCTCTCTTATCAACTCTACTTGAGCAGGAGAATCATATAGTAGTACGTTTTATAGGATACAGGATGTAGCATGTATGTTACTACCGAATGTTAATTTTATTTTATGTTACTTAATTCTCTATTATTTCCCGATTATAATTAATCGAATGTAAAAAGTATCGATCAATACGCGACTAATTAAATATTTATTTTATTTTGTTTTGTAAAATTTAAAACTAATTTATAAAGATTGTAATTTAGTAAAAGTTTTAAATAAAAACTTACCTGACTGAGTGGACGAATTCGTTCGTGAATAGATTTCTCTGCCTGCAGAGCGGAAGGTGGAGGATGATCTGGAGTAGGCGGTTGAATATAGTGAGTAGGACTCGTTGGAATAAGCATCTGTACCCTCTTTAGTCTTTTATCTGTAGCTTCTCCTGCACCAGCAGTTTTAAGTTCCTCGGTCAGATCACCATTATCTTTTCTGTCGTCCAGCAGACTTTCCTGGGAAGACTTTAGCGTAAGAAATGCGTTTGAAACGAATGTTTGATCGTGTAAAGTTTCACTGGTTGGTGATTGGTCAACCGGAGCATTGTTATCCACATCGTAATTTTCATAAGCTCTTTCACAGTGTCTCCGTAATTTACGTCGAGGATTTTGGAGTTTTATCAAACGATCACCGTAAACAGCGGTAAGAGCAACTGGTTCTTCACCTGCCCGTCTATTTATGCTTTCGGGACCACTGTACCTTGCTTTCATGTCTACATACTGGTCAACGCTTCTGGTTACATGACGCAATTGATCTCTTCGAGTTTGAAGTTGTTCAAGATCAATGTGACTTCGAGCTCCACTTCGCGCAAGAAATAAATACTCGTAATTGCTGGGACCAAGAGAACAGTCTGCTGATAACGACATCTGAGTTTGTAAATGAGTTGGTGATACTGACAGATTTCTTCGAGGTGGTTTTTTCGGTGGAGTCGGCTGTAAAATTATTTTTATTTAATTTTAGAAAATCTATCCAGTACCAAAGATATTTTTAATTTTTAATTATTAATAAAAAACACTTACCGAGACTTTACTATTAGAAGCAGGACTGTGAAGTGAACTAGATAATGGAGCCATCGGCAAATAAATTCCAGAAATACCAGAATCATTAGGTAGACACCGTCTGTCCCGAGGGCTAGGTCCACCAATACTCGATGAAGAAGAGACGCTTAACTGATCAGACTCTCTACCAGTGAATCCCGCGGGCAATGTCAAGGACAGATCCTCAGAGACGTAACTGCCCTCAGTACACCGAGGCGCCGGTGGCGTCTGATATAACCCGCTGTCAGAGCCCCTAAACATCCCGACACATTTACTCATTAAGTACCACAACCAATCAATTCAATTATCAATAACCCAATAATAAATAAGCATAATATGTATTTTTGTATTATTTGTTATGAATATAATGTAAAATAAAATTAAGTATACAATATCTAAAAAGCCGTTTGCAGCTAATTTTTTTTTTTTTTTGTTAATGTTTTGCCGTAACTACAGGATCATACCGTGTTCGCGGTGATACTGATGTGTTGTTGTTGTTGTTGTTGCTGTTGTTGTTGTTGTTTTTGTTGATAGAAATGTCAATAAATTTATTGTTGTCATCGGGTGTTGTCTGAACAGAACTTGCAAGTGTATTTATTGAGTTGAGAGTGTCTGATATGGACATCAATACGCTGTCGAAGAAGGAGCTTGGATCTGAGTAACTCTCGGTCACTTGTAATTCTGAGGCATCGTAGTAAATGTTGCCCTCGAAATCCCCGCTGAAATAACTCAACTATTTTTAAATCTACCATCCAAAAAAAAATATTAACTCTTTTTCAAACATTTATATTTGATTTATCATCAAAAGCTTTTAGAGAGTAATAAAAAAAATTATTAAAAATAAAGTAGAGGCCTTGAGGAGGTATATAAAGGTAGTAGTAAAGTTATTAATTTTCGGTTGAATCGGGCTAACATTTACATTGTTTAACATGATGGATTCATCTCGAGACTGGATGGAGGTGGAATCGTGTACTGGGCCAACGTCAAACATTTATGGTAGCTGGTGAGCGTGATTCCCGAGTAGTATAAGAGTCCAAAAGGACGGGGGCTAAATGGAAGAAGAGAGGGGTCAGAGCTGGAGCACACTGCCGGAGGGTAGTAACCCAAGTAAAGTGAAGGCAAGCCACGGCAAAACGAACAGAGGTGAGTCCAAATACTCCGAGGGAAACCAACGGACTCACCATCACTAGAACTGGTGGTGCCTACATCAGGAAAATTAAACCAACTGAAGCGGTGTTTAACGCGGTGGAGCAACATCACCACCTTTATACTGCGTCCTTTGCACTTTACAACCTCCACTCTCTTTCTTTTTTATTCATTCGTTGAGAATACATCCTCTTGTTTCTGGATACGTCCTTTTCCTCAGCAACTAAATCCCAGACTAGCATTACTAGTACATATAGTAGTAATACTATTACTATTACTATTACTATTTCTATTACTATTACTATTAATACAAGGATTGGGGCTAATACTGATATTCAGTTCTTTCTTCATTTACTTGCTACATACACTGCGGCTCTCATTCACTTGAACCGGTACGGGAGTTAACATCTGTGCTTTTGTTTGCTCACATCTCCTATATTAAACCTGGCAGCTACCAGACCGACCTGTACACCCACTGCATTTATATATCTATATACTTTGAGTCTTTCTGAGAAATATTACAACAGAGGTCAGTTGGAATTTGCCAAGTTGTTGTTAAAATAGAGATACACTGAAAGTAATAAAAGAACGAAAGAAAATAAAAAAAAAAAAAAAAAATAAAAAAATAAAAAAAGAAAGATCAAGTTTTGTCTGGTGTTTTTAGATTTTTTGTTCGACATTTCTTCGCGTACTCTCTTGTCTTTTTATATGACTTCTTTCATTTTTGAGTGTGCTCACAGAGCGTAAACATGCTCGCCTGCAACTGCTTCTACTGCTTCTACTGGTGCTACTGTTACTTCTGCTACTGAGATACAACGAGATAAAATATGAAAAGTCTATACAAGAGGGAGTCATCTCCATTTTAGTATAATTCAACTTCGTGACAAATTGTTTCTGAATTACTACTGGTGAGTGTGTTGTGTGAGTGTGTTAAAATCTTTCTGGTTAAAATTTTTATGCCCGATGCACAATTACCAGACACTCGTTCATTAAATGTATATATAACATTACATATTTAAATAGTACCTGCTTTTATTTTATCATTATAGCTGGTGTTTTTTGTTGGTGTGAAAAAGTTTATGTTTGTGTAGGTAAATGAATTAAAATTTTACTAATGAGACTTACAAGGACATGACTGAAGTACCGGATACTCGGCGGTCCTCGTCTCGCGGTTTATGATAAAACTGCCATTGCGTCGGCGAAGAACCTTCCACGGGAGATAGATCCAATGCGTTGTCGTACGGACTGCCTAGAATATCATTTGTTTGTGGAATATGCTCACCGTCAGCATCACTCTCTATTCCAGAAGATGATCGATGTCCTGGAGAAAAAAAAAATAAAAAAATATTATATAAATAATTCTTATTATTTAATAAAAAACAAACAAACAAACTTTTGATAACAGCTGTAATATCATGAGTAACGTGAGGAGGAAATTGTCCCAGAAGATCTAGTACTGTGTTATGTCTTGCGTCACGTATTCCTAAATCAACTCCACGGTCTAATAGTGTTCTTACGACTTCCATTTTACCACAAAGTGCAGCCTCATGCATCGCAGTGCCAGCAGAAGTTCTTGTATTTACATCAACTCCAGACGCCAGTAAAACTTCAACAACAGCCCTGAAACAAACATTACGATAAATCTATTATATTTATTTGTTAATTAATGGTGTTAATAATAATAATAATAATAATAATAATTATTATTATTATTATTATTATTATCAATTATCAATTTACCATCAGAAGAATATAAACATATCTTTGGTGTATAGATGAGGGAACCAGCAATAGAAATGGACTGTTGGAAGTACAGCAATGGCGTACATGATGAATGTACGTCGAGTGTAGGGAGATTAATCGGCATACCAGGGGATACGATGGAATATAATGCCGCCGGGGGCCAGTGAATCAACTAAACCAGCATAGTATCATAGTATCACAGTAGTATCACAGTAGAATAGTAGCGGAACAGGAGCTATGGCAATGGCAATGGGATTGGGAAACTGGAAAACTGGGAAACCCGGTCCAGGATTCGGCAATAGTGAGCCAGAGCCAGAGCCAGAGCCAGAGCCAGAGTCAGAGTCAGAGTCAGAGTCAGAGCCAGAGGCAAAAGGAGATAGAGATCTGATTCGCATGGAGCTATATGTTGTTATTACCGTACCATATAGGGGTATTTGTACTGGCTTACCGAGAGCACCGATATTGAATCCGATAATTGACATTACTCCGCCTGACTCTTCATATTCCCTTTCTACGCATCTATGCATCTATGGATCTATATACCTATATACTCATACTGATATCCGCAGTTATTTGCGGCTAACCTCGCTTCCACTTGAAATAATTATATATATCATCTAATTCTCTAATATTATTTCTATATATGACAGTAGTAACAACAATTGATAACTGATAAGTGATACAAGTATAAAAGGATTTAACTTTTTTTAAAAATCGATTTAATTGTAGACCGTCGAATGGAACTAAATACACTGGCAGGCATCCAACTGTATCGCGATGCGATCATAGCATTATAGTCGAGGCGTTGTTAAAACGATTATTGCCCACTCTACTCCCCATTCTACCCTTTAACCCTCTTTATCCTTCCGCCAGAATCATCCCAATCTTTCTCTCTTTCTCTTACCTAACAACAAACATTCCCCGGTAAAGGTATAGGTATATCTAGATACCACCAATTTACCAGTTAGTTGTTTTTATTATTATTTTTTCAAATTATAGCAATAGTAGTAGTAGTAGTAGTAGTAGTAGTAGAATATTGTATACAGTCGATCAACAATGACGGCAGATTACCAAACACGTTCTACGTAAAAATAATCTAATGGAACGACCGGTTATACCCCGATTACGATGTAACCCGTAGTTTCGCGGCTATTACGATTTACCAGGCATTTAAAGCGACATTCAAAATAATTATAAAAGCTTTAAATAAATAACTGAAATCCAATCACCAAACAATAATAATCAATATTATCATTTTTCGATTATTTCTCATTCTAATAAAATTATATTTATGCGTATGAATTACCAACTAATTAAAAGTTTCCAATTATTTTTTCATCCACGGGAGTAATTAATTTTAAATTACCAGCGTTTTTGCCTTGCTTGTTTTTTCGCTCGGTTAAATTCAATTAATTACCTGATATTTTATATTTATTCAATCCATTATTCATAAATTACGTTCAGATGATTTTTAAAAATGTTAATTAAAGGATGAATAATTTCATTGTTATAAAATATTTTTAAAAAAATTTTCATTACAACAGTTAATAATTTAAATGAGGGTATTATTATTATTATTATTATTATTATTATTATTATTAAATAGGAATAGTATTTGGTTCCAGTGAATTAAACATGTCAAACAGGCGGTAGGGATACTCGTAATCTGTAAAATTAAATCCCGTATTAAGATGTGTTCCGTATGGATCAGAAACTACGACAATGTCTTAGAATTCAGCCTTTCGTGTAATGGGATTCGTCAATGCTCAAGTGATAGTTTGTGGTAGCGCTGATAGTACGTAACCCAGACTACCGAGAGTTTCAGTTAGAGTTCGATCCAGGATCCAGGATCCAGGATTTAGGACTGAGGATTCAGTTTCGGAATTTGGTAGCATTCAGTGAATTGATAAAGGGAGAAGCTGCCTGATTTTAGAGTAGCTTCAAATGGTACTCTACTCCCCGGGAATCTGGCAATATAATCGTGACCAGCAACACGCGGTATTCGATATAGAATAGAATAGAATAGAATAGATAGATATAGAGTGTCGAGCACATTGAATGTAGAGGGATTGTTATGTTGGTGAGGCTGAAGCTGAGGGAAAACCAGAGGCTGAAGCTGAAGCCGAAGCTGAGGGGTTGCTAGTCAGTATATCGGGATCGTATCTGGTCTGGCGTATATCGGTTGAATGGGATTATACAATACCGTGCTCTCTGATTGGCTCTAATCGGCACTATTGCACTTTGAGTGTGTGCCGCCGCCACCGCCGCCGATGGTAGCTAGGATGTTACGTATAGAACCGGTCTATATCCTAGTAGTGGTGTGCTTTACATACCTGTGGCCATTTCGTGAAGCTAGATGCAGCGGTGTGTGAGGGAAGATTAGCGATGAGGAAGAATTACGAAGTGGTTCGATGAGCTCTGGATGTGTTCTCACTATCAATTGTACCGTTTCTAATCTGTAAAACATAATTAGTTTTTTTTTTAAACATAAAATAATCTACAACAGTATAATTTTATTTTAATATTTTTTAAACTCTATCATTGAGGTATTAGTCTTCTTAACCAAAAGCTCTTTTTCTTATTGTCTATATATATATATATATATTGTTTTTTTTCTTCTTCTTTCCTCATTTATTCTATTTAAATTGAAATTAAGTAAAATTCAATTAATATAAATTTGTAGGTAGGAATCCTATTAAATTGAATCGGATTTAATTTTAATCGGCAGATAAATTACGAACAATGGCTTTTGAAATCATTTAGATTATGAGCAACATTGTGTGGTATTAAAGATAAATACAGATAGTATTGAAAAAATTAATAAATATATTTATAAAATTGCTGGTATTAATTTTTTATCTAAATTTAAAGTTAAAATAAATAAAAATATTTACCGGCCATACTGAGCTGCAAGATCGAGTGCTGATTCGCCCCGGCTGTTACGGATACTAGGATCACATCCGTACTGCAGCAGCTGTGCTACCACTTCAGTGTGCCCATATTGCGCTGCACAATGTAGCGCTGTTTCATTGTCTTTTGTCTGTGACAAACAATTTTATTTATAAATTTATAAATTTTAAATTAAAAGCCCGTTATATTATAAAAAAAAAATTAACAGTTAACAGTTTAATTAATCGTACCGTAAGATTGACATTTGGTACAGATGGACCTTGGCTGAGAATTAATCTGACAATCTCAGCATCTCCAGCCCATGCTGCCAAGTGCAGAGGTGAAGATCCTTTTGCATCAACAACATTTGTCGATGCTTCATGCTGCAATAGCAATTTCACAACGTCTCTGAAATTAACGTTACACAAAAAATAATAATCATCAGAATTGTATCAACTGTTGAATTAAAATACTTACTTATGGCCATTTAATGCTGCATGATGTAAGGCTGAATATCCGCTGGCATCTTGCACGTTAGCTCCAGGACCTCGACGAAGACTGTAAAATAAAAATAATAAAAATAAAATAAAAGAGCAATTGACAATTGACAATAAAGGAAGAGAATGTCGTAAATAATTTAACGACAACCGGAATAACGAAATTGTTTCAGCCCACTTTGAATAGAATCCATCTCACACTGAAATTAATTCAACGAACATACTCATTCGTGGACCAGTCAGTTTCCGTTTGTCGGGCGCTTCATTTCCGCAATCAAGTATTCAGGTTTACTCACACTAAACTCGAGCTTCGAGCTAGCTTCGAGTCATACTGCCAGCATAATACACCAGCAGTATATATTCACCAGTATTCACAGTACTGAGTAGAACAGAACAGAAAGACGTACGCAAAATAGCTATAGACAGAAATCGATCTGGTATTTACATTCAATATTACATATAATATAATATAAAGACAAATAAATAATGATAGAAGGCGTTGAAAAGACGAGAATAAAATGAGGGAGGAATCGGGTTTAAAGTATAAACCAAGAGTATTGTTGATAATACCGAACAAAACGAGTTGAGATAATCCGTAGTGTCGACGTAAATGCAATGCTAAAGCTTCTCGGTCGCGTCAACCGACCTGCTAACGAAGCCTATACGTCTGACACATGTCCTCGTTAAACGCTATTGTTACGTCAAACCGACAAAGACCACGGTTATATAGATCCAATACACCCCCCTATATACATATAAACTTTGCTCTGTTTTATTCTCCTCTCCTCGATGTTCTGGGGAGTATAACAGCCCCTCGAGAATTTACAACTTATCTTTGTTTACCCTTTTCTTATTTATTGATACGGATAAAATAAAATATTTTTACTTAATCATATTGTTACTTCCGGAAATTTGCCAATTCATTTTTATTATTACCTACATATCCTATTTCTATATTATTTGTAAATATTTTTGGTATGACCAAGCATTTAATCTCCCAATATTGATCACCGAAACCTCGATGATTGATAAAATATTAATCCTTAAACAAACACTATCAACCGCTAGCAATATACGAAAAAATATATATATATATATTAAATTCTGGCACTCTTTGCCCTATATGCTGTATAGAATGATACCAATAAACCTGACAAAAATATCATTTTATGACACTCGAACACATAATAATAAATCATCCTGGGGAAAATATAAAAGCACAAACGTGGTTAAATAAAAAAAAAATAAAGGTATAAATCTCATTAGGAGATTTCCAATAGATCCCGGTCAAAGGCCGCGGCGTTTCTCTGATCCATTGAGCTAAACATCAAAACGGTGCCGCGATGAATGCATCTCAAGTACGTGATTCTGTAACTGAAGAATAGACTGAAAACTATACAATAATAATCTTTGATGATAAAAAAAAAAAATAAAGAAAAATAAATAAGAGTGTAATGGTAAAGAGCAGGAGCAGCACGTGCTTATACACTCTAAATTTTACGATACCTAACCAGCCCAGAAAAGTCCATAAGAACTTTAACCAGTCTCCTCTTACCCTTACCACCCTCAACCTCTTATATTCTTCACTCTTCACTTCACTATTCACTTTTCTCTTTCTCAGCTCACCTCTTACTTTATTATATATTTGTGTTTGTTTTTGTCCGCCCTCTTTTTCTCTATACTATACCTAGTGTACTTTCACTATAATACACTCCCTGCACTCTCTCGGTTGTTTGTACTACTGTATTGAATACAAGAGGGCTGCTGTCTACATTGGATTGTGATTCCCAAAGCCAACTACTTATACTACACTCCATATACGTAGTTAAACTTTTCATCAGTTATCTTGATGTATATATCCTCGTATATTTGTATGTGTATGTCACCTTCAAGTTTATTTCATGTGATGATAAGAGCCTAAATATACATATATAGAGTATGTATGGTGAGTGTGATGAAGGGAAAGAGAACAAGTAAAAGAGAAAAGGGCAAATGGCAAATGGCAAATGGTAAATCCCCTACAGAAAAGTTGTTGGGGACATTTTACTCCATTCATCGCTTCAGCCACACTCTTCACTCTATCACTGAGTTTCTTAATTAAACTCTGAAGATTGTCTGCAAAAGGACATCGGCCCTATACGAGAACCCGGTACCATAAAGAGAGTAGCCGACTAGGGATCTGACTTTTCTCCTTTTGCTGTTTCTCTTATGCTTTACTTGAGATTTATTTATGTTCGAATGTGAAATCCTCCACTTGGACTTGAAGTTTTCAAATAAATTAAGCCAGTTGACCCCCCCCCCCCCTTCATTCCTCCACCTCTCTTTTCTACTCTCAAACTTAATTAATAATGTATACGTAAAACTATACTTTTAAGTAATTAATTTTTATTATACTAAAAAGCCATTGTCATTTCTTCTACATTACAAAAAGTTTTCATAGTTGTTTCTCACCTCCAAAAGGTAAGAAAATTAGCTCAAATAAATAGATAATATATACATGAAGAATGAAATTTTTGTTGAGATGTGCATTATATAACAGTATAGAGCTCTTAACTTTCTCAGTCTCATTTTTTTGCATCAAAAGAGAAAAACGCCAGCAAAAATGAACGAGTATGAATTAATTAACAATCTTAAAGTGGGTAAAAAAGGCAAGTGAAATTGTTGAAAAGTTTTTTTTTTTTCTCAACTCGAGACTTGGCAAGTGGTTTTTTGCACAAGAGGTTTCTAGCATTATATTAGCAACTTCCTTATTTAAAATAAGTCGTTATTTTACACAACAAGTATCATTAAAGCAATGAATATTTAAGTCAGACAAATTAACCCCACAAAGGGCTACCTAATATTACACTCATTAATTAATATAAACACACTAAGCTGGTACATTGTCGTTATCATCATGATAATTGTTATTAAAATTTAATACCCAGATTAAGATTATTATATAATTGTTAATCCCCTTTACACAGTATAGTGTGTTATACAAAACTGTGAAATATATATATATATATATACATATTTATAATACAGTGTATACATAACGTACAAATTTATTTCATGAATTATTTAACGGATTAAGTCTCTTCAGCACAATCGATGTGTCACATTCGGACAAGTCGATTGCGCAAATCCAGATACTCTCTATTATCTCCCTAAATAATTTATTTCATTTTTATAGAATTCTAAATAATTTATTCAGCTCAACAAGTGTTTAATCGACACGACAAATTTATTTTACATTTTACTCGAAACTAATTTATTTAAATTTAAATCGGCAATTGGTAGTAATAGTAACTCATTAGTTAATTACTCATTAGGCTTTGAAATGATAGTTTATTAATAGACTGAAAATCGTTCTCCGAATACTTTGCCAGCACTTGAAACTACTAAAGTTTTAAATATAAACATATACTTATTTCGTGTTGGGTTAATATTATTTTTTTTCTATCGATTTTCAAGTAATGGCTATTCATTTTTTATTTATTGTCACGGCTATTTTATTTATTATGGCGCCAGAGGTTATTGAACTGTATACACGTGCCAAAGCTAAAAAACGTGTGAAGCAGAAGAAAATTTACTACGTATTTAAATGACATTACTGTAATTAGACGTGTTTATTAAAATTTTTGTTAAAAAAAAAAATAATTCAATAGTCTATGATTACTTATGGTTAAATAAACAAACAAAAATTAAAAAAAAAAAAAAAAAAAAAAAAAAATGATGATTTTCATTAAAACAAAGATAAAATAATAATAATTAGTCTGAGTAATATTGTAATTTATGGGTTGAAAAAAATGTTCTCGGAATAAATTTATTGAATAGAAGGATAATTTGAGGGTGTCTTATTTACTCGGATGCTTACTCAACCTCTAGAGAATAAATATATATCGTACCGGTACACGCAATCCGGCAATGAATGTTCAACAATGATTCATACCATCTACAATTGTAGATTATTATTATTATTATTATTCCATTGATAAAATACCTGAATAGCCTTGATATATTTCCTTGTTATTTTGTTATCAGTTTGTATATTAAACTCTATGACGTTTATTTATCAAATGATTAAAATACACAACTACTCCATCAACATCAGTGTTAATATTAACAACAATCTGGGATAAAAAATAATAAACGAAAAATATATATATATATAGAAAATTATATTAAGCAATATGAAAAAATTAATAAGAATATTGAAAGATTATATAGGTCACGAGTCTGCCCAGATCTTGATACACGAAACTAAAAAATCATTACAGCAAACAAGTGGAGACACATGATGACCTGAATCTCTTTTTAAATGATATAGTACTATTAGAAAAATAAAATTACCTCTATCACAGAGTGGATGGATAAAATGTTAAAATAATCGGAGCTATTTAAAATTTAAAACAGAGTAAATAAATGATTTTAGTGATTTAAAAAAAAAACGGGTTAACACCCACCTTGCCAATGGACCACTCCTTCGTGCTCGCTGACCAAGTATTTTCTCGACAATTGTAACATTTCCACTTCTTGCTGCCTCCAGCAGCTCTTGATCTTTTCCCATGTCCCATTTATCACTGCTAATCACTTGTCATATTCCTCACTGTACTCACTTGAATTAAATTATTATTTTACTACTAACTACTAATATTTACCGAGTTTACGAGATATACTACTTTTCATTGATCCACCGCTGCCATATTGTTCTCACTGAGCTGACATCTACCGGTAGATTTTTAAATTAAATTCCCGCCTCCACACTCAACTAGCTATCGCGCACTATTTTTAAATTTTATTTTTATCATTTATCATCAAAAATTAACATAAGAATTTATTTTTTATTTCATTATTTACAAATTTATTTAAACATTGTGTGCATTGATATCTCTTTATTTATCTATAAATTATTAAAAAATTATTTTAAAAAATCTACAAGTTTGAATTTAATTTTCCCGCGCAATTACAATCTGTCGCGCTTACAGCTGATTTAACGTCACTTGTCATTTACCTCTCGGTATGTTCGGATTATCAGTGAGTTAATTTGTTTACTTTGATTACTTTCAGTTAATTAAATGTTTTATTTGCTGATTTAGCGAACTGTGATTATGGGAATTATTTTTAATTTAATTATTTACTTTGGTTTGCTTGGAATTATATATGCGAATGATTTTCAGCCGGGTATGTCACCTAACCTCTATCTATAATTGTTTTGTATTTACAATAACAACTAAAAATTTTAAAAATCATTTTTATTAAATTAACAATTACCGATGATAATCATTATTTTTTATAAAATAATACATTTTACTTTAATATTACAATTTATATCTAATTATAAATGTGACATAATTATTTTATTACTTATTACTTACAAGATAAATAATAAGATAATAAACACTTGGAGATTAAAATTTATCGGGTTTAAATATATATTATTATTTAAATTCTATTTAATGACAAGAATTTATTTTCAACAATAACTATTTACATTTTTTTTTTATAAAAAATAATTTTTTTTTGGCGGGAACTATAATTAATATTTATTTATTATTTTTTTTTTTTTTTCAATTAAATATTTAGTTAATTAATAAATTAACTAACTAAATACAAACTTATTTTATGCAGTAATTAAAAATAAAGAAAAGAAATTAATTTAATTATTTGCTTTGCTAAAAAGTTTAGAGTTTAATAATAATAATAATAATAATAATAATAATAATAATAATAATAATGTTTATGTAACTCGCCAACTGTCACGTAACGAAGATACAACTTAATTATTACATAAATAACTTTTTTAAATAAATGAAGGAAAAAAGATTTCTTTTTTTTTTTAGATTCAGTGACAATTTCACTAGACACTTTTAATACATCTCAGCGAAATGGCCAAGCATTTTACATTAAAACGACATTGCCTTCTTCGAAAGCGACTTTAGTTTTAATTAAAAATTCCCCCTCGAGCTTGTCGTTCATAATAATCCAAGCCCACGCTCAAGAAAATTTGACTCTCATCACTAAAAATGCTCAAAAAGTATCTAGAATTGCTGGTACCAATATCGGGCTGCAATTAGACTCTAAACTCATCAAAGATACTCAAATAAATGTGATAAATGATAAGAATAAGACTGTACCAGCTCTCATAGCCATCACTGCCTATACTTTTAAAGGTAATTATAATTTATCAATGTAAATAAATATTATTAATAATAATAATAATAATAATAATAATAATTATTGTTGTTTGTTGTCTATCAGCTCCCGTACCAGGAGGCTGCAATATGGAATTTGATATAGAAGTATCACCGTATCAGCGGCTAATGCTCACAAACTCTACAATAATCATCGACTCGCAGCCAGCGTCTGCCCCACTTATCAATGGGCTCAAATTACCATGTGAAAAAAACCTTGTGACCTACGAAATTTATCGTCTCTATACAGATGAGAGTGATTTTAACAATGAAACTTATTTTTCAACTATTATCAAAATGCTTACAGTTGACGATATTATTAAAAATGCTGTAAAAGTATCTATTTATTTATTTATGTGTTTATTTATATTGAAAATAATAAATATTTTGATTAATGAGAATAATTATTCAGATACCAACATCAGCTTCGAGGTCACCGATGCGTAAAGTTTATAGTTCATACCCACGAACTGGATCAGCGTATGTAATGATAGCAACGTTTGGTAACCATTCATCAGCATACGTACCAATATTTTCTTACGGCTGTACTCCATTCTCAACTGAAATTTCTTGTGATTATTTAAGTTAATATCTCATAATTTACTTAATAGATTAAAGTTAATTTTATTAATTAAAGATTTTTTAATTAATTAATTTATTACAGAAACAGCAATGTCAAAAGTACTCTGTGCATCTGTACTATTTTTTGGAATATTTTTAACATTGATAACCCGGCGGCGTTATGAAGTAGAATTATTTCTACTTGGATGTTTTTCTGGCGGTATAATAGGCTACATAATTTTACACGACAATCAAATGGAGGCTGAATGTAAGTAAAATATTTTTTTTATTTTTATTTAAATATTAAAAAATCATAAAAAATAAAAATTTTAATAATGAATCATGAAATTGATAGTAACAGTTAATTTATCAGTAATAATCGGAATAGTAATGGGTTTATTACTGGTATCGCTGTGGTACATTAAAGGAATGCCATGTATTGGAATTCTTCAAGCGTCATTGTCCCTCGGCGCTTTGGTGGCCAGTACAATGTACTTAGGAATGCCAGGCACGTATTTTATATTTTATAAATTCTAAAGTAAATAATGACAGTACAGAATAGAAAAAAAAAAAAACATAATAATAATAATAATAATAATAATAATAATAATAATACAGAAATAAAAGACAGTAGGGGTTGTAGAAACAGGGAAATTATAGGAAAATAATGAAAGCTGAGGGGACTGAGCTTTAGATTTAGGTTTTGGCGCGCAAGCTCAACGGACGTTGGTCCTCAATCCTTATTCAGAAAGAACATTTCGTAGCTTTGGTAACTGGGTCTATCAATGATATCCACTCATGTGGAAACGGCTGAATCCCCTATCCACTAGTAGGGTTCTATGTCGCTTTCTCACCACTGACTGATCTCACCCTCCCTTTTTTTTTATTTTTATATGCCTCGATCTGAATGTGTGACAACCCCTTGGACAGCAGCAAACTCCCACGGACTCCTGAACCAGCTTGAAAGATTCACATTTGCCTAATTGCATCCCCCGTATATTTATTTAGTCCGTAACTTATTTAGATTACACGCTTGTAATGCGGAACATTAATTTATACAACGGGTATTGACAATTACAGGGTAAAAAATTTTTTTTAACAATACAAGAGTCTACTGACTGACGATTTTATTTGCTACTTAATTATTACTAAATCACCCGATTGGCTCTATCATAAGTATGCATTGTAAAAAAAGTTTTTAATTAATTTAATTTAACAACTTTTGTCGTTAAAAATAACCCGGAAATCGAGTGTTTAAAAGTAACTGCCGTTTGAACAATAATTAATATCACAAGTTAATTAAATCAACTTTAAAAGCTCTAACTTTTATACTATTGACTCGGTGATATTTTTTTAAAACCAAAGTGTTATCTAATTTAAGTAATCAATTAATAAATTATTTAAAGATGGTCAACTAGTATTGGTTAATGACACAACATTTTGGATAATTTACTCGACAATAGTAACAGCCGTGGTGTTATTACTCTGTATATTTTCACCGAATTCAAATATTATCTGCTGTGCTTTTATTGGAGCATTCGCAATAATTTTGCCGATTGACTACTGGGTTGGCTCGAGCCTAAAATACATTATTATCAACACTGTACGACGGATTACAGTTTATGGATTTAACGTTGCTATTATTCATCCACCCTTCCAATCTAAAGGTAATAATATTTAGTATGAGCAAATATACTTACTTGTCGTATTATTTAATATTTATTCATGTTATGATTTGTGTACTCAAAAGACATATGGTTGTCGGTCTTCTGGATATTGTTGGCACTACAAAGTATTCACTTACAAAGAAAAAGATTACAGGGTGGAAGTCCATTATTTCCACGTCGTGTCGATTATAATCTTATTGACTCGGAAAGTTCATATCCAATTATATCCGAGGAACCGCATCATCAAGGGACATTTTTAATTGGTAATAATTCAACAATAACAACAACCAAAAATTATTCTACATTTTTTAAATAAGTTATAATATTTTTCTACCAACAAATTTAAATTAATGTATATATTTTTTATACTATAAATTGTAAAAGTATCAATTATTTGGCATTAAAAATTGTTATTTTTAATACCAAGACTAAAAGTCAGTAAAATAAATAATGAAAAAAAAAAAAATTTTATCAATAAATAATAAGTAAGTCGAAATTACCTGACATTAAAATGAAATAACATTTATTGAATTAAAGACAAGTGTGACCTAAAACATTGGGTCTATTGTATATATATATTTTGTTTTTTTTTTTTTGTTTTTCTACTAATTACAATCTTAAGATAATCACAGCAACAATATCATTTTATTCACAACACTTACATAAAATTACTGCCGCGAATATTATATATTATTAATTAATTAATTAATTATTGTTAATAATATTTTTTATTGATAATAGATTTGTTTATACGCATACAATGTATTTCTTCGAGCTACGACAAATACTCCCGTGTTAAAATTCACTAATTCATTATTTTTGTTTTTTTTTTATTTTTATTTTTATAATATTATTTATCAATCATTATTATTTAACTGTACACTTTTTTATCATATTAGTCTAATTTTATTTATAATTATTACATAATTGTGATATAAAATACTAAAAAAAAGTTTGAACATTAACACGGAAGAAAAGTTGTTAAACTATTTACATATTTAAATGAATTTTTGATCCAATGGCTCGTAAAAAATTACTCAAATTTAGCTTAATTTTTGTTTTTTTTTTTTTTTTTTTTTTTTTTTTTTTTTCTATTAAATAACTCGAGTTTGATTCCAAAAATATAAATTTACGACTATTATACTCGTGACTTTAGTCGGCTTGTCTTATTAGTTATTATTATTTATTTGTATTTGATACAATAAAATTTGTTTTCTCGTGGATAAATGATTCATCTAGATTGATTTATTTGGTACTATAATCGTAATTAATATTATTATTGTTATTAGTATTATAATTATTGTTATTAATATTCTTATTCTTATTATTATTATTATTATTATTATTATTTTATTATTACAACAGTACATTTTGCAATAATATTGTAGGTTATTAGCGTTTTACTTTAATAATAAACTTTCTTGTTGTCGAAATAAAGTAACTATTGACTGTGATTATGAGATCGAATGAAACATGTTTTATCATTTTAACGTTACGCTAAATTCATACAGTGATTGTTTTATTATTTATTTATATAACTTTAAATTATTAAATGCAAATGCACTTGGGTTTATTTAAATCTGATTATTAATATTTCGTTTTCAATAAATTAAATTATTGCTAGAACCTTTGAGTAGTCGCGTAAATAAACCCTTTTGTTAATGATTATGATAAATATCAAACAACACAACATAGATTTATTACTTTTAAATTAAATATTTGCATTACTATAGCCACCGGACTACTGAACTAACGGTATTAATTATTTGTATTATTTTTGTTATTATTATTATTATTATTATTATTATTATTATTATTATTATTATTATTATTATTATTATTATTAAATCACTGATCGTTTAGTAACAGTTTTAACAAACAATATAATCGCGACTACAAGATCAATTGCAAGGATTAACAGGTTGGTTAAAATTCTGTCTGGTTTATATGGATTACTATTTATGATTAGTGGTTAATTGTTGTATGTATTTATCTGTATTTGATTTTATTATCATCTACTAAGTCTACAGTTTTACGTCTGAACATATAACTGGTCTTTTCCACTCATGCGTTATGTACAATAGCTGTTACTTATTTACCAGCAGCATTCTTTTTGTTTATAATATTTACTAGATAAAGTAACAAATTCTATTTTACAATTATTTTTACATCATCTACACTTGATAATAATTCAAGTAATTTAACCTCATAAATGTGTTCGTTTGCTGTAATTGAATGAGAGCATTTACGATTGTTATTTAAATAATTCATTACAAATTGATCCATTGAATTCAACTATTCGCGCTTTTTCACTAAAACAGCGTTGCTGAGAATTTCTATATATATTTATAATTTAATTTTAAAATAATTTAAATAAAAATATAAAACAAAAAAAAATGATATTAAAGTTGAATTGTTAAAATGAGTAAGATTGTTGTGAAGAAAAAAAAAAGAAAAGAGCGTCGGCATCCGCCATAACTATAGTTGAGCGCGATGGCCGACCCTAAGAAAGCCACCCTTACTATTATCAGCATCGAGTTTCCCTTTAGTTGACTTGATTCAACTGCTGGGAACCCAAAAAACAGCTAGCTCATCCCGCGAATCACCCCAACAGCAAATCTCGCGAGAATACCAGCAGCCGTTGTAGCTTCTATAAAAGTTGAATCCCTCTACAACGAGTTTACTCACTTGCTCTCATTCACCTAAACACCGGGTTGAGAGTTTCCTTCGGTTCTGTTCACTTTTCTTCAACCCCAATTCTTGGTTCGAGCGACCACCCCCTCTTAATACTCCCATCCTTCTCTTTCCTTTTAAACTCTAACTCTACTTGTTCTTTTCTTTTCCTTCTTTGTCTGTCTCTTCCTTCATTTCGCAATTACCATACTCTTCTCCTCACAGACACAGACATTTAAATTGAGCACAATCGATCTTAAACCGCTGCAGACAATCTGCAGAAATTAATATTTTACCTTTTTTTCATTTTTATTAATTTTTATTAATATTTTATTTTTTGTATTAATGCAATAAATAATTTAAATAAGCTAAATAAGCGCGTAAACCCTGTGTGATCCGGATATCACTCCACTGTTTTATTAATTGGATTATTTTTTATAAAAACAATTAAAATTGAAAAAAAAAAAAAAATAAATAAAATAAAATAAAAAATCAAAACTAAAGTAAAAATCCAGGCCGAAAATGAGCAAGTCGTGTTGGTGACTTTTGGACTCACTCGGAGGCGTCAGATGTAGTGTTGACCGGTGTTGTGGCCGGCGTGCTGGCGGTTTGATGCAGCTGTTGCTGATGATGATGATGGTGATGATGATGGACCACTGCTGGCGAAGGTAGTTGATGCGTCGGTAGACCCAGAGAAGCGAGAAGTGGCCGTGTCAGAGTCCCCGATGTCGGCGCTGAAGGAGGCGGGCTCTCCTGTCCGACGAGAAGACTCGCCGGCGGGAACCCGAAAAGCTGGGATCACTGAAGTCGCGGCCAGTAGTTACTCGCCAAATCTGGAGTCTGCGACGGTATTTGAACCGGAACTGATACGCCAGCTGATATCACTCCTGTTGAGATTGCATTTGTTTTTTTTTTCCATAATCATTATATCTCTTTAAATTACTATCAATTTAGAAAGATTTATTTAATATTTTGTATCTCTCTCTAGCGTAAGTGAAAATAAGTGAAATATTTGTAATAAAAATAAATAGATGGTTTTTTCGTCACCATTCCAACGGAGTGTTATATGTATATATGTATATATGTATATAATATATAATAGTACACCATTCCTGCACGATATGGTCCCTATTTCCTCCCCTTTGGGTTCGCACGTTATTGAGCGCTCGCCCAGCCGAGGCGAGACCCAACCCATCCACATCCACGTTCGCCTTCTACCGTCCAACCCTCCAACTCTCTAACCCGCGGGCTCTACAAGGAGGGTAAGAGGAGTAAGAGGAGGTGGATTCTATATAGAGAGGGTGATGCTTTCCAACCCTACTACCAACGCGAGTTTCGTTAAACGCAAGAGGGATGCCGGAAGTATACAGCTGGATGGATAGAAAAAGATGTATATCTATATAGATAAATTTGGAAGGTATAGAGGATAGAGGAAGAGAAAAATCGTAAAGGCAAAGAGAAAATAGTCAGTGAGAATTGTAGAAAATGGAAAATTCAGAGAGAAAACCGCTGAACATCCCATTCTTCGATTCACCCCACGGCGTCCATGCGAGATTTGTTTTAAAATCCTTTTACAATTTCGTTATTCCATTGGTATGGATGTGAGTGTGTGCGTATGTATCTATAGGTATATACTATATACTATATGCTACTATTGTTGATAGATATAGATAAAATAAAAATAATATAGATCGTATGGCGGCGGTGGTGGTTTAGATTCACTGTATTGAGTATTGAGCTCGTTTTTGGTATAGTAGTATTCCCCGATCAGTCCAACAGTTTTTCTTTTCACTTTGGCTATTGTCTGTTTTTTTAATTTCAATTTTTATTTTTTTCATGAATATCTATAGGTGTAGGTGTGGGTGTATTCGGGTGTAGCGTTAAAAAATACATCACACAAGGTCCTCATCCAGTAGGATCTATTGATTTAAATTTTGATTTTCCTTTCAAAACCCCGATTTTAATTCCTTTGTCATGTCACACACGTGTCATCATGTCATCTTTTATTTTTATCTAAACACTACTTTATTTATTTATACCCTTTTTAATTAAATCAATAAAATCTAGATAAAATATTTAATGGAAGGAAAAGATTTGGTAATAAGCTAATTAACGTATTATTAAAATTAATACGAGTTAAATGAGTAAGTAATTTGGCATAGAAAGCCGGAACAACAAAATATGCAACGAGGATTTTGCCTCTGTATATTTCACAAAGTACATGAGTAGAAAAATTATCCGTATCCGGCGCATTAGCATTTTACAAGCATTCTCTGAGCTTTTCTCATCTCTTCACATATATAATAATAATAATAATAATATAAAAAAAAATAAACTTTAAACCCCGAGTATAAAAATATATATTTATAAATTTATATATATATATAAATATATATATATATATATATATATTTTTTTTTCGTAAATACCAATTAGTCTATTTTATTTAAATTTAGTTAGTTGGTTGTCTGTTAAAAGAAAAAATAAAGTAAAGTAAAGAATTAGAAAAAAGAAAAAGAAAAAAAAATGCGGTAATTAAAAGAATGTGAGAGAGTGCATGATAATAAACGAAAGGATGCCAATTAAAAGTGATTTAATTTACTTACCAGTGGCTGTTGAAGTGGTGGGTTGGTATGGTGCCCCTCCTGGACCGGTCGGTTGACCCCCCGGTGTGCTCGGTGTTCCACCGTGGGAGGTCGGTATGCCGCGATGGGGTTGCGAATGCGCCGCGGCCGTGTGATGAGAATAAGACTGGGTTAAAGAGTGCAGTGGCTCGTGAAATACGTACGCCGGGTATCCTTCGGCTCGCTGTTGCAGACAACTGCCTCCCATTGATCCACCCAAACTACTAGTCATTGAACTAAACAAACCATCAAATCATCAAATTCAATCCTTATTATACAGTCAAAACCGTTTACAGCGACATCGCTTACAACGACGAACCGGGTATAACGACGAAATTTCAAGGTCCCGTCTTAATGCAATATAAAACCTTCAAGCTTAAAACTGTTTATAACGACATCGCCTATAACGACAAATCGCTCATAACGACCATGGTTGAACCATCTTTTCGAAGAAAAATATCGTTTATAACGTCTAAGACATGCTTTTGCACTTGTATTTAGGTCTGTATTTGTTTTTCAGTAATTATATTTATAACGTCACAAGTTTTTCAACAGTTGAAAAAGACGAAGTATCTGGTACAGTTCGGGCAAACGCTCATGCCATCTTTGACAACTTTAGAGATAGACAAGTATATTGAGGTAGACAACGAGGTAGCTGTATGCTCGTCAATGAGTGATCGGAAAATGTTAGAGGATATTCAAAATCATGACACGATGGTTGAGAATTAGGATGAACAAGAAAATGATGAACAATTTGTAATACCAACGTCAGGGAAGCACTAATTGCTATTACTGTTTTACAAAAATTTGTGCTTGACGAAGAAGAATTAAGTTTAAGCAATAACAATGAAATATTGCATAAAATGTATTAACAAATTCAAAATTACTGCGTATAGTTTCAGTGCATTAAACAAACTAAAATGATAGATTTCTTAAAGTAATTTTTGTATAAATATTCATAATAAGTATTAGTTGACATCATTAACTGTAAGATGATATAACAATGCAATTTTAGTTTAATAAATAGTTGTAATGTATTTTTGAATGCAATGAGAACGTTTTTAATTATTAATAATAGATATTGGTCATAACGACTATCGGCTATAACGACCATAATTCATCGGTCCCTTCAATGTCGTTATAAACGGTTTTCACTGTATTTTCATAAAAAATATTTTATTTTATTTAATTCATTAAAATTTATGTTAAATAAAACTAAACTGACCTGTAAGTGTCTGGCATTGTAGCAATCGGCTGAGGAATAGATGAGTACATGGCGTTAAATCCAGCATTTAGAGGTATTCTAGGAGTAGCAGGAGTAGCAGCAGGTGGTGCAGCACCACCTGAAATTCCACCAGCTCCTCCGCCAACCACTTGATCAACAGCAGCACGTCTTTGATTTCGTAATTTTTCCTCCCGTCGCCACTTGGCCCGTCTATTACTGAACCAAACCTGTAATTATATTTAAAAAAAAAATACTAAATATTAGTAATAATAAATACTCGTTGGTGTGAGTATTAAAATTTTATTCCCAGTCATAACCCACTCTCTCAGGCATTCCACCAAGTAGTAAAATCGGTGTCGAGTCAGACGCAAGTTTTACACGGTTACGCACCTCCATGGCTTCCGTTCTATTCGATTTAATATCAGTATATATTAGTATCAGTAGACCGTTGCTGTAATTCCATCACATATTATAAATATAGTAAGTATATATATATATATATATATATATATATATATATATATATATATATAATACTGTAGAAGAGAAGCATTCAAAATGGATGGAACCAACAGCTTTTCGGCCATTTCAAGAGGCCCCATTATAATCCTATACCCTCAGGGTGCGTACTACTGAATTCCCAAGTAGTATATCTATCTATCTATATAGATATTGAAGTAGAAGTAGGATCGGCCAATCAGAGGGCAACCTCCCCGGGGACGCGTCGTTGCCATGGTATCCCGGTTGTACGAAGAACCCTCTTAGGCCTTGCTTCTCTTCTCCAGAGTTTCAAACCCTCATCCCTCAATCCCACCGTATTTCCTCTTCTATTATTCTCTTTTCTTTTCTTTTATTATCATTATCACTCATAAATACAATCGCCGATACACATTTTTTTTTATAAAAAATTCATTTCACCTCTGACGCAATTAAGAAATGAACAAAATAAATTTTGGCTTTGGAATAAAATTGCGGATATAATAAAAAAATTAGAAAAAATAGAAAAAAAAAAAAATGAAAGTGAAAGAAAAATGAGAATGGTCTGACTTGACAGAGATTGGAATTTTCCGTGAGTTGTTCCCAGAGCGGCGGAGTTCGTCTGTTAGTTTCCTGCACTTAGCAAGATCAATACCAGCCAACGAGGCTTGAAAACATGCGTCAACATGGTCTTGCACTGTTTGTACGTCCACATAACGCTTGGTTCAAGCCCCACGGCCGCCTACCTCCCGACAACAACTACCTCGCTGACTGAAACCCCTTTTGCGTTTATATCACGGCCAATCCTCAACCTGTGTTGTTGTCCGCTTCTCTATCTTTCTATCTTTCTGTCCCTGTCTTGTTCATTCACAGGCACCCAGTACCTCTGCTCTGACCGCCGGGTAACGGGTAACGGTTGACGGGTGACGGGTATAACGGGTATAACCGGGAACGGGTGCTCGGTACCGTGTGCCACTATACAGTATTGTGTGTCGGCAGTGGCAGCGGCAGGAGGCTACAACCAAACAATGTACGACAAGGCTGCGTACATATTAGCTTGTACTCGCCATACGTCACCTCATGACGTTTTCGTTGTTGTTATGTATTAATTAAAATAATAATAATTATTATTATTATTATTATTATTATTATTATTCCGCAATAACTACCTATCAAATTTTAATTATTATTTTTCATTTTTAAATTTCATATTGTATTCATTCAATTATCAAATATTTATCATCATCATCTTTAGATACATATAAAAAAATAAGATTTTAATTTTTTATAATTAAAGATTAAGTTAATTTTTATATCAGTGTGTATAATTAAAACAAGAGATAATGAAAAAGATGTCGTAGTTGTTTTTATCGAAGTACTTAATGAACAATAGTTTGTTTCGTTTGAACGGAGCCTTTAAATGTTAGAGGCACGCCCCCACACACTCGTACACATTCACACTCACCTGGATACGTGCCTCAGGCAATCCAATCTTCTCGGCGAGACGTTCTCGTGCAAATACGTCCGGGTAATGGGTCCGCTCGAATTCTGTAATAAAAGCAACATTGCAACAAGTGCGCGTCATTAGTCTGCCTCTATTTATTTATTTGTTTATTTATCGAGACTAAATTGTTGGTGAAAAAAATAAAAAATGTTTTTTTTTTCATACCTTTTTCAAGAGCGTCGATTTGATCATTTGAAAAAGAAGTACGATTGCGTTGCAATTTACGTTTGAGCCTAAGTCGAACCTGTGAATCTTCATCCCCAGATGAGTTGTGATCAGAATTACCGTCAGAGGTTGTTTCCTGTTGATGTGTCAGCAGAGATCCGGCATCTGTTTAAACAAATACAGAAAATAATTATTACTATTACTATTATTATTATTATTATTATTATTATTATTATTATTATTATTATTATTATTATTATTATATAGATATAAATATATAAATGAAAGTATTTTTGAATGAGTAAACAATGTATAGATAAATAAGTTGAGGTGAGAGACATGATGCAAAGCATAAAGCGTCTACAGCATCACCATCAACATCTAACTTGTTCACATAAACCAGATCTATATATAGCAACGAGCGAGGAGTGAGGACAGAGAGAGAACAGAGAGTAGAGAGTAGAGGCTAGAGGCTGCTGCTGTCAAGCCCTGAAGGGCGACGATTATCTTCCGGCTCTGCGCACCGAACCCTCGGCTTTCTCTATCATCCCTCCCGCCCTTCAACCTACAACCTACAACCTACATCCTACAACATCTACATCGACATCAATATAGTTATAAAGCTTTGGACCCTTTACTCTGTCGGCTCGAGAGTTAGTGCCGGGCTAGCTGGCTGGCTGGCTGGTTGGCTGGTTGGCTGTTGGCTGCTAGCTGCTCGGACTGCTGGATGACGAAAAGGACCAGGGGATGATGCTGGAATGGATTCTATCTTAACGTCAGCTGCTCGGTTTCTTGCTTGCTCACTCTCACTTTTATATTCTTACTCTCACTCTCATCACTTCTCAGCTCAGCTCAGCTCAGTTCAGATATCTGTGACCTCTTTGTCCTTCTGAATTTCCTGCACCATCACCATCATACTCGCTATCACTATAATACTAGTGCTCTGGCCAACACTAACAGTAATACACCCTCGTTCTACTCGTTATCCTCTAACATTCTCGTACTTGAATTTAGCCCAGACATTTCCTCGGAAAATATCGAGACAGAGAGATGCTGAGAAATACTGAGAGAGAAAGAATGGACGAGCGTTGATGGTACATGTAACTTGTAGCCTTGTAGTAACTTGTCACACTATACATTCTATGTGTGTGTGTGTGTGTGTGTGTGTGTGTGTGTGTGTGTGTGTGTGTGTGTGTGTGTGTGTGTGTGTGTGTGTGTGTGTGTGTGTGTGTGTGTGTGTGTGTGTGTGTGTGTGTGTGTGTGTGTGTGTCTGTGTCTGTGTCTGTGTATAAAGCAGCTTGGTATCTAACTACGCCTCAACACCCATCCAGTCTCTGATTCCTCTCTTCCTATATGGTTAGCTCTGGTTCACTCTGCTTTACTGTGAAAACTAGTTAGATCATAGGAACACGATGTCTCGATTGCTATTCATTTCAATTCACTCAATTTCATTCAAACGTACCTCAATGTCTTGTTTGGTTAGTAATTATTTTATTTACCTTCTGTTTACTCTTTATTGTAATTAAATTTTGAAAAAAATAATGTTTAAATTAATACTGTAGTTTTGAGCAACAATAAATCTAGTTAATCAGCTCTCACAATTAAAATAGCTGTTACAACAGTCGAGGATTTAAATAGAATCTGCATATTGTTGTCTGGGGTTGTCTCAAGCCTGGAGAAGAGTCTCTGCATATATATTATACGCAACAGCGTGAGCGACAAGTAAAGAGGAGGAAAACAAGTAAACCTGAGAGAGAGAGAAAGAGAAAACACTTTGGTGGCGACGTTAATCTGTCTATTGAATAGGAAAGCAAAGCAGTATTAGGTTGGAGGTATAGTAGGTACAGTAAAATCAAGCATCTGGAACAGTCGTCATCTGTAAGGCCAATCTGCACCCGCAATCTCCATCTCTATCTACATCTCGGTTCACTGATTTCACAGATCCTATTATTACATTATACTGCTCTGAATTTTACTCTCTATACATTTATAAATTTTTAGATTTAATTCAACTACAATAATATATATATATATATACACTCGAAATTCTTACGTTGCCTTGACAATTCTCTGACAGAAATAAAATAAATACTCTCACGCGGGAAGAATCGAGCACTCGAAAGATTAAATTTATATACCCTCCAACAAAAATAATAATAATAATAATAATAATAATAATAATAATAATAATAAAAGATATATTTACCAGAACGTTTAAGAAGGGAATCGTCTCTCGGATGCAATTGACCACCGGGTAATAAAGACTGTCCAGTTCCGGGAGCGGCTGTTGTCGGTATTCCAGTGGCAAGAGGATGATGGGAAGATGTAGCCGAGTACCAAGCCGGTGGCCATCCGGTCGCCTGTCCGTTGAACATCCTCAGCTTGTCGTAGACACTCTCGGCACCCTGGTGAGCTTGAACCGCGGCTGCCTGTTGCTCCTTCTGCGAGGCCAGGTTTCTTAGCACCCTGTTGATTGAGGACACCTGGAGCACAGAATATTATCGTATCATCAATTATTTATGGTGAAAATATACAACTGAAAAGCTTGATGGCCTCTCAGATAGATAGATAGATCTTTTTTTATTTCTATTTTCATTTTCAAAGGGATCAAATGAATTGTACTATCTGAGATTTAAACCGCAGGTACTTTTGCGTCGGTTGTTGCGGCCAAGCTATACAGCTATATAGTTATATAAGTTATAACGAGCACAAACCACTCGCTAACTAGAATAGTTTGTAGTTAAATAAATTTTATATACTTTTATTTCTTCAAGTAAATTATACTCAAAGAAGAAAGTCAACTAAATATATAACAATAACAACAACAACAATGATGATTAATAATAATAATAATAATAATAATAATAATAATAATAATAATAGTGGTATGAGCACTTAGACTTAAACTTGCCGGTCGGATCTATCCACTCGACCCTAATCAAAGTCTCGTCAATACGATAGTAGGAGGGTAATCGGTCGATTACGTGTACCGGAGGATGTCCATTCCGCCCTTACATGATCATCCTATATCCCCCTATATCTGAATCTTACAAACATCCTCATGAAGAGAGAGCTTGCGTTCGTCTAGGCTCATCACGTAGGACAGGACCAAAAAACTCCGGATACAAACAGTCAGCTAGATAGCTAGTCAGACTAACCTAAGGGAGTGATGCCGAGGGTTCATTCAATACTAAATTGCCACGCGTTCAAGTCATTATTGCTGTAGTCGCGGATGTGTCGTCATTTCAGTACATTCATTCTCAAATAACAATAATAAAGAAAAGAAAAAAAAAAAATCGAGTCCGTATGTCGAGTGTAAGAGAATACTGGCGTAAAATCATCATCTCTCCCCGTAATAATAACAAGAGCTGATGTTGGCGAGTTGAAAGCTGGTGAAAGCGAGCCAGTAGATAGATATGGGGTAATAGTTGTTGGTGGGTTTAGGATTTGGACTAACGCTTGTACTCGCACTTTTCTCTGTATATATATATATATATAGATAATGTGTATACTGAAGTAGTGAACTGGTGTACTCGAATAGAGTAGAGGCCTTGTCTTTACCAGGGTGGGTTATTCGCTCGTCTGTGCTCTGGCGCAATATAAGGGGGGCGGATAGCGGATGGCGGAAACCGGCCAGAGAATAAACTGAATGGGATCAGTTAAGCGTGTTGGTTAACAATTATTCGTGTTTGGTCGCGCGTGTAATGGCCTGCATCGAGGCTAAGGCTGCGGCTGCTGTGTGGCGGACCAGCCGCTATTCCCTCTACCTACCGATGATAGGGAGACTTTTAACTACGCTACTAAAATCTCTACATTACTAAATACTATTAACTTTATAGTTATAACTTATAACGTTATAATAAATATTATACACTGATGTTTTAATTATTTAGATACTAATAAAAATAAAAAAATAATAAATACTTACGCTAGGTATATTGTCATTATTACAAACACCCTCTTGCAGCAATCGATCACGTATTTCCCATGCAAATATTGATGGACATTCACGTTTATAATCAGCTATTTTATTTACAACTGGTGTCGTTGCTACTCGTGGTTTACTTCCACCGATTGCACGTGGTTTTATTGATCCTGTTTCGTAATATCTGTAATTAAGCAAAAATAAAAAAATAAAATTTATAAATTGTTAATATTACAAGTAAGTAGACAGTAGTAGTAGTAGTAGTAGTAGTAGTAGTAGTAGTAGTAGTAGTAGTAGTAGTAGTAGTAGAGAAAAGAGAAGATAAAAGAATGAAAGGGCTGAAAGCGTAATGACCACAAATTGTATGACGTGTGGGTTAGCTCTGAAAAGAAGAATGTCACGGTAAACTACACGTACATGTATATATATATATATATATATATATATATATATATATATATATATATAGACGGGTAGGGGGTTCATACTCCATTGGAATTATTGTCACTGGCACAGTACAGGGGAAAAGGGAACGGGGGCTAAAGCTAGTTATTACGCGGCTAGTCTCTCGGCTTTTAAATTCCCCTTGCACGCGCCCAACTACAATTACCATGTACCGATCCAACGGATAATAGACTGTAGACGCTTCTGTCAATTCATCAAGGAGTTATACTTTAATTCATTTAATTACCATTTATAATTGCTTCTATACAATATATTGTAGACAAGTGGTCAATTAAAATTTATTTTGACTCCCAATAATTATTTTTTCTACTTGAATTCTCATACAAGTATAATTAAATTATATTTTTTAAATATTAACCTTCCGAGAATTTTGGAAACACAGCCATTGCTGACTTGAAGTATGCGGGAAATGTCACATGGTCTAGCACCGCTGTGAGCCAGCTCGACGATTTTTTGTCTCGTTGAATCAGGAAGCGGGCGTCCATTAACGTAAACACCTCCAAGCTGATTAACTCCACTGTGTCCTGCCGTCGAGCATCCGAATATTGAGTTCTGGCTGACCATACCCCCACCGAGACCTGGTCCTCCATGCATCAAGTCATCTTCTGTAAATAAATAATAAAACAGTATTATTTTATTTGTAATAACAAGTAATAAGTAATTACTCCTTTAAATTGTTAACAAGACGCTAAATACGTCTTTTATTTAATTAATTAAATTAATTAATTTTTTTGCCATGACCTAGTTTGTTACTGCAAGACTCTGACAATAATATTATTATTCCGAACGTTTCAGAGATGATGATTAAGATTTTAATATAATATAATAATAATAATAATAATAATAATAATAATAATAATAATAATAGTATAATTAATTAGATTATCACGTCTGACCGAAAATGATTTTTTCTACTTAAAATAAAGAATTTAAAAAAAGTAAAAATTGAGTGTATCAGTTTTTATAGAAACGACGGAGACGACGATGACGACAGGGAAAAGTGCTCCTGGTTGCAAACAAAGAGGAAAACCGCGTGCATCCTGGCATGCGGTAAATTAAAGAGAGTGGAATGACGGTGGCGTAAAAAAGTTGAGTTGTTGGCCTGTGTTAGTCACTGAATAAGTGAGTGAGTGAGTGTATATATGTATATTAAAAAAAAAAAAGCAAAGAAGCGAATAGAACACACCGTCGGTTTGGTTTGCACACGAGAATATACACGCCTATAGACTGAAGCCTATACAATCTAATAGAAAATATATAACTATATAACTATATAACTATATATACAACACGGCAGGCACAGGCACACATTCTTTATTTATAATTTTGCGTTAATCTACGCGACGACCAGGCAAAAGCGAGTCATGCCGCAAAGTGAGGCAAAAAGGTTCCACTTGGCTGAGCGTGAAACGGGACACAGATTAAATCCCATCCTAGTGGTGTACGACGCCCTCTTTTCCTCTTCGTCCTCACTTTACTCTTCGACTCATCTACCATACATACCCTGCTATCCTTCTTTTCTCCCACTTTTATACACACTATTCTACACTCTCATACAACCCTCTGACAACCCCTTCCTGCTTCTGTCTCTGCTTCTCCTCTCTATTATATATATATATATATATATATATATATATATATATACTATTACATATACTCTACAACTCTCTCAGTCTATTCGTTATCCTATACCGAATGAGCAAGAGTCTTATCATAAAAAATTTACAAAAATTTAAATCAACAGAAAAAAACCAACCGTTGTTACATTTTGTACATTTAAATATCATCATTTTCCTCCTAGCCATTGTTATTATAAATTTAATAATTGTAGTTATTATAATTTTAATTTTGAAATTCAAAGTGAAGAGAACCAAAATGCATATAGAAAAATTTTAAGAATTTATATTATTTACTTGAACAAATAGTAAAAAAAAGGGTACGATTTATTTATGATAAAATTTGAAAATGATCAAGTATATCGATTGTGGTGAGAATTTACTGAGGCGTAAAATGATAGCATTACTGTAGGTTATACGGTATAATCTATACACGGGATTAAACTCTTTTACGTTGATGTCGAACGTTGTGTATTCATGTAGATATGTATATATGAATAGTTGGATAAACGAGAGAGGAGTGATGATGGGGGAGGAGGAGGAGGAGGAGAGTAAAATATATAAAGAGGACAGAATGAAAATTTGATTAATGGGAATTCGATAATGGAAACAAAACACAGTACGCCAAGCGAATAATACTCGAATTTAAAGCGCAAAGTTTACGTCGTGGGTATTTGTTGACGGGCGCGATAATGGTACGGATAATTAGATCGTTTTCCCATGAGCATCATCCGATGCATTCACCAGAGCTATATTGAATGAGTGACTGCTGGATGATGAAAAACAAAACGAACGTTTGCTTATTTGGTACTCTTTAACATCCACCTATATACACTTGCTGCATATACTTATGTATATTATTTACATTACAACATATAGAGAATAAAGAGAGTAAAGAGATTAGAGAGATTAAAGAGAGATCAAGTCCATGCACAGATTTGGAGTTTGAGTTGACGATAACGAGCAAGAATCTCTTTTCCAACACCCTCGTAAGGACCTTGTGTGTTTGTCCAGTGCATTCAAGTTATACTCTTTTCTCTCTCTCTCTCTCTCTCTCTCTCTCTTACTCAACGACGATTAGTTTCGAGACTCATTAAGTTCCCGTTAACTCGACAGAGAAGTGCAAGAACCCGTAGCTCCGAGGTGGTTTCAACGTTCCGACGATTACATACCAAAGGATATCCAGCTAACCACCCAGTAGACCCACCACCTAGCAGAGCATTTGAGGGTGAAATTATATCATCAACAATTAGATGAATTAACGATCCACTTAATGGAATTATCGATGGATAATTTTTTGATTGGGTATTATTCCAATACAAAACCCCCGACACGATAAAACTTTTTTTCTTTTTCTTTTTTTTTTTATTTTTTAATTATTCACTCAACATTCATTTAATTACCGATAAATTTCATTTTTTCCTCCAATTAAACACTCTCTGATGATGATGATGATGATAATAATTAAGTGGAAATTTTAAAAAGTTTAAATCAATAAAAATTAAATCAATTTAAATTTGATGTGTTGTATGAGGTGTTGAGGTAGTAGTGTAATAACGTAGTTGTTACCATCAAGTTACCAAGAAAAGAAAGCTAAAAGGATAAGGTAAAAAATTTAGCCGCAATTAATTAATAAACGGAGAGTAAAGAGTACAAACGTTTGAGGAGGAAGAGGAAAAGATGTGTTGAGTGTGGAAGGAAATTCGTGTGAGAAATACATTAAACATAAAGTAGAAGGTTGGAGATAGAAGATAGGAGGATACTCCTCTTGAAGTATAGCTATACTAGTGTGCTTTGCTGGGTAAACTTAAGAGTGCAAGGGAGTTAAGGCTTTAGTGATAGACACACCTGAGGCTACAGAGTTTCATTTCATGGCAAAGACATCAAACGATACACCATCTCACGTTCTCTAATGAGTTGAATTGTGTGGTTTAACTTTTATAATGCACCCCCTCCACTCTTATATTTATATTTTTTTATTAAATTCAATTTCAATTACGATATATTTATAATTTCAACTCGGTAGCCTGACAAGAGCTTAAAAATTTTCGGATTTAGTCACTTGACATGCACATCACAGTAATCCAATACTAATCAACAAATGAGCTAAATGAGCTTCTGTGAGCAGGTTAGAGCTAGGTTAGCTAGGTTAACTAGTGGTAGGATGTTTTAGGTGAGAATAACATAACAAGGTAAAAATAAAAGTGTTAGAGTAAGGGAGTATCTTTCCCTAGACAGTCTATTGCGGTACCAACACATAGTGAGGGTTACGGGTTACGGGTTACGGGTTGTGGGTTGCGGGTTGTGGGTTGCATGTGTAAGGGGCTGTTGCCCCGACAGAAGCCACCCAACTGCCGCTATAGGGTTACCGAGAGCTAACCTCTGCCAACTGAATAACTTCTATTCCCTTAAAGCTCTGCATATAATAGTCTGCCGTAACTAAACTTGCTCTTTTTCTCTACACATCATCATATACATATACATACCAGCACACACATCTTAATCTCACAAACTCATTTCTCGGGTTATAGAGCCCACGTTAAAGTATTTTCACACTCTACGGATTCTTTTATTTTTTTTGGTTTTAGGCTCTTTTAAATTTTTTTTTTGCTATCTGTCTCTTTTACTCTTATTAATTATACTCAACAACACACGGTCTAAATTCTTATTCATACATCAATTATCATTTAAATATTCTAACACTTTGCGACTGATTATTAAACTTGGAGAGTAGCACTTGTGAATTATTTATTATTCATGAATTCAAACTAATCGATAACATTCTCGATTCTCGACTTTAAATTTATGATTTTATGCAACCGGAAACAAAAATAGTAAGTGACAAACGCGGATAAATTTATTCAAATATTTCATTTTTTTTTTTTTATCTTGGTAAAAAAGTATCCTCCCGACTCGAATTTCAAACTGCAGAGACAGGATTCTCTAGTCTGAGAAAAATAATGAAAGGAGAAAAAAAAAAAAAAGTTATTAAATTGTGTCTTGTAGTCTTTTAGCTACCGAATTTACAAAAAATATTTTTATAATAGCAAATTACAAAACAAACAAAATCCGATAGAGAAGTGTATAGTGTAGGTATATAGTATGGAAATAAAAAGATTTAACGCCCCGCGGTGAGCCCGAAGCTGCGTGACCTGGCAGGACGCTAAAATCCGTCAGGATCCTCGTCAACGAGTCAGAGCATCGTCACGAAGCTGTCATGATTTAATTCTCATTCTCTCATTCCGATACTATCGTAAATTAATATCTATTTTTATAAAACGTTAAATTTTTTAAATAAAATTATTTTAGCATTTTATTTAAATTCAAAATAATAATAATAATAATAATAATAATAAATAATTAATCTGGGATATAAATATGTGCTGTACATTTCGATAAACAAATGTACTTTTCGTTTTTAATGTTTTATATTAAAAAATTCCATGACAGTGGTGCGATGTACACAACAATTTAAATGATCGCGATCAGAGTCGGCGGGTATCTGGTGATTTGAATTTATATTTTCGCTGTTCTGCCGTTCTACCGCGGCATCGTTTTTTGCATCGCCTACCTCACAATTGCGATTATTCTTCGCTCCGACGATTGTCAGCCAATTTATAACGCATTTCATTTTTTTTTTTTTATTATTATCCGCAAAGATAAATATTATATTTAACTCGAAATTCATTTATTCATCTCGTTTTACTTTTTTTTTTCTATTCTTTATTAAATAAATCTTATTAATTTTTAACGGTTACTGTTAAATAATTTTCAAAAAATTTAATACCAATTTTATTATAACTTTTCCACAAGGTAATTTTTTAAAAGCTTTATTTAAATAATAATATTAAAAAAAAAAAAAAAAAAAAAAAAAAAAAAAAATCTTGTATATTTTGTCTTGTACAACCAGGGATGAATTATAATAATACAAGAGCTAGTGGATGATAAAATATATATTTAAAAGTAATGAGAGTGAGACAAACCTTTATGAGGCATTTTCCAAAATGATGGCTCGGGGGTGGACGAGCAAGGGTTAGCCACCCCCGCGCCCAACAGCGTTCTTGCCGCGTGCAGCGCCGCCGCGGCCGCTTCTCTGCTCCTAACAGCCGCAGCGCTCGGCGGGTAATCTGAGACGCCGTCACTTCCGGCACCTGAGACACCCCCGCCGCCTCCGGCCACGCTAACACAGTGCTAAAAACAAATACAATTCACATTATTAAAAAATTAAACGATAAACTCTAAAAATAATTTTAATTTATAATATAATTATAAGCTATCAGTTTTTCATTATTAAATTAATGATAAAAAAATAAAAGTGAAACTTTTGTAATGAAATAACAATGTAGTCTAAAAATAGAAAATGAAAATGATTAAAAGTAATATTTTTATTTTAACAACTTAATTACATGAGAGAGCGGTCACGTTGAATATCGATTTATGTGTTGGTTTAACGCGGCTATTTTATGTAAATAATTTATCGTGTACACACAATATAAGTCTATATTATACTATGAAAATAAACCCGCTAAATTTATTATTAAATTAATTTATTAAAATTTCTGGTACAGATTTTAATTTACAGAAATGAAAATAAAATGATAAAATTAATAAAGAACGGACTTGTTGATTTGATTTTGATAAAAAGAAAAGAAAAGAAAAGAAAAGAAAAGAAAAGAAAATAAAAGAAAAGAATAGAAAAGAAAAGGTTGTAATTGAAGAAAAATAAATAAAATACGTAAATGAGTGCGAATACGATACGATTCACGTAAAGTGTGTGGTGTGTCGTGGGGCTTCTATTCGATAAAACAGAGCTTTTTTTATTTTTTTCTTTTCACCTTTGACTCTGTTGGGAATGTGATGAAATGCCTGATGGAGAGCACTAAAGACCGTCGGCATTTTTGATGTACGAAACATCACACAAGTGAATTAAAATAATAAAATGAAAAAGGACTATATATATATATATATATATAATAGCAGTAAAAGTAAGAGTAGAAGTAGTTGTTGTAATGAAAAACGTCCCCTTTCGCAACTGGTAACTCGGATCTCGGGACTCGGGACTTTTGAGGCTGGAGTATGATTATAACTGCGTCATAATCCTAAAGCTAAAGAGTTTGAGAAAGGTACAAAATGCATTGCAAGATTTTTATCCCTCCTATTACCGAGCACTACACTGTACTATTAAACACTCTGTAGTCAACTACACTGTAATGCTGCCGGTGAATAGTCGACTCAAAATAGAAAAGTAATGAGTTTTACGCGGCGCTAACGAGTTTTGCTTTCATTAAGCCGCAGTACGGGGATTTTTTTAAACTCTCTTGACTCTCAACCATTATACCGATCTACAGTAGATGGATCTTTAAATAATATTTATATAATATAATCATTTTTCATTTTATTTTATTTTGATTTGTTTTAAACAATTAATTTATTTATAAATACGATAATCGAACAATTTGAAATTTTACCCTTACACGGTATAAATCAATCCCTACAAACCTAAGATCCGATTTATCCGTATTATCCCGTTGTTAGTCGGGTACAAGATCTATAATATACATATATATATATATATATATATATATATATATAATGTATAGAAGGCACTACCGTGTGTTATATGTGCTATTAGCTTATAAACCTATCATCCATCTATTCTACCAGAAATAACTTTTACCAATCCAAATAACAAAACTATTAAACTCCCTTATTAAATAGAAGTAGTACAAGTCAATGATTGTTTTACAGAATAATTAAAATTCTAAATACATACCGTGTCGAGAATGGCCGTGATCAGGCCGGATCCGATCACCGGGAACAAGTATAGCGGTGAAAAATATCACCGCCAGCAACAGAGTAACCGTTTATTTTATTATTGTGCAAATCTATCAATATATATTATCAAACAAAACAATTTATATTAAGTAATTCCTTGAGATTGTAATATACTTGTACATTTAACTTATAACAGCAATAATCACGTCCAATATTATAATAATAATAATAATAATAATAATAATAATAATAATAATAATTATTATTATAATTATAATCACATTAAAACAAAATTTTAGCACCGTCCTACTGCAGCCATTAGTTTTTTATTTTATTTATATTTATATATTTATCACTTATCCGTCGGACCACTGTTTATTATTATTATTATTATTATTATTATTATTATTATTAATAAATCACTCCCGTAAATATATAATAAAATAATAATTTGACGGTCACTTATTTTTCGTAGTATTCATTTGAGTTTTGATAAAACATAAACAAATGTTGCGAATTGTAGCTGATAATAAATAAGATAAAAGATATAAGAAGATGTTATATATAATATATAAATATTATTATTGAGGATGACCAACAATAAAGTGATGATCGGTAGGAGCGATGATGAGGAATAATATTTGTCGTTTATTACGTTTATTGCGTTTATTGCGCCTGGTTGGCCGATAAAGCGACGGTACGATGGAGCACGTGCAACTAAACTGGGGGTGCAGTGACGCGTCGCTACTGCGGTGCGCGGCGCCCGATTGACCACCAGAGTCTGCCTTTCCTTCACGCGAGGATCCCTCGTAGCTCGTACGGTTTTGGATTTCGGCGTCGTCATCTCCAAGTCCCCCCACTTGGACTTTATACTAACCGAATCTAAACCCCTAGATCTATACCTATATCTATACCCTTCATTCCATCTTTCTCTTTCTCATTCCTTTTAAGGGCAAGTTTGTTGTAGAGTCTCCTTGTTTATCCGATACGCCGTAGACTATTATAGTACAGTACAGTAGTACAGTATAGTATATGTATTATATTGGGTATAACAGACACGGACAGAGTCGTTTTTACGATGGGCGGGACCAGGACATCGCCCCAGCAAACTCGACTCTTTGGTAAAGCTAAAAGTGGGGAGGAATATCCCGCGATTTCACAAACCACCAGGGTATGTTGGCTCTCTTTCAGGTAGGGGTGAACGAGAGAGATATATGGGCGTGACTTACACTCGAAAACCCGTTGGTGGGATTCCCCCGACGCCATTGTTACTACATCGGCATCGCGACGTCGCGAAATTTACCTACCGGCGGTTCCCAAGAACGTCGCTAGAGCGTCGCGACGCCACTTTTAACCTTATCCTTAACGTAGACGCGACCCGCCGGATAACTAATTTTTTTTTACACACATTCAGGTAAGAATTTTTATATATTTATTACCGATTATTGCATTTTTATTCCCTTTAATTTTACTTTTTATTGGCTAAAAATTTCAAAAAATTCATTTTATTTTGTTGGTTAAATTTTGTTTTTATGTTTGTAAAAAAAAAAAAATACAATAAATTTTTATTTTTCAACAACAATTAGAGTTGTATATTATTTTTAAAATGTTAATCCTTAAAAAAATAATGCTTTTCGAATTTTATTTAAAAATATTTTAAAGCAGTACAAAGATGTGTATATATAACAATAATAGAAGAAAAAAAAAAAAAAAAAAAATATTGTTTATTGTGAAAATAACATCTCGATCGGCTTTCACGGTTCACAAACACCTTCGCGTTTATAAACGAGTAGAGGTTATACTGGTCGGTCGGTCCGTCGGCGGATGTAAGTTTATGATTTTATAAAGCGTGAATTAAATCGCCGTAAAAGCGACGATTGCGGCTGGATGATTTTGTCTTTATACATTATAATACAGAATACAACAATGTACAAGATCTACTTCTCCTAAAATATTAGGTATTATGTTATTATATAATGTGTCACATAGTCTAAGGCTTGCCACGGTGTGAAAAATAAGGGACTAGATTATTATAGAGTTCCCCCTATGCGTAGTAGTACTTATTACTGCATTGGTGTCTTGCGAACCGCAATACAGGTTTTAGGATCAAAGCTACTCTACCGTCATTTTGGCTCTATAAATTTATTATTATATATTAATATATAATGTACTCTCGCGTAGTACGTGTTACATTCACCGCCATTGTATCAGATTTATATATTCTTCCGCGTGAATTAATATTTCTTTTCTTTCATCGTAATGTATGATATAAAAAACATAATACGATCAGAAATTAGGGGCGAGACTCTAAACCACAGCTTTTATTTTATTTTATTTTATTTTATTTTATTAGTTTTTTTTTTTTAAATATATATATA